ATGCTCCACAATGGGAAAATTATAGGGCTATCTAAAACGATTGGCAATTCGTACAACTATCACAATTCCTTTCCCTCTTTCATATCTCTAAGTGGATCACCGCCTCATCATGGCAGGGTGCTCCTGGTTGTCGAACTGATATCTATAAAGCAAGAAGTATATCTCTTGCAAGGATCATCTAAGCTAAGAGGCTCGGCATTTACTTCTGAAAGCCCAGTTGCAAGTTGAGCTACCCAGGCACTTTTAAGACAAGAACAATCAAAACAGAGGTCCTAATACAAAAGCTTAAGCACCTTCATGTTGCTTGAGGGGGAGTGTTTGTTAAAAGCGTGATGGAAAAGGTTTCAGACCTTGCTTCTATTGGTACCACACTTTTCTGGCACGCTATTGCTTATCTATTTTCAGAAACAACTAAATAGTCTTTTTAACATGCATTCTTTCTTGATAAACTTGCACGAGGTTGATAAATATATTTATTTTCGGCTAACGTTTCGACGTCTTCATCTTCCTCAGAGCCGATGATCCGAGTCGATGGTCCATGATTGTTGTTCGTCTCGACGTTGCAGCTTCGCCTTCGTGTCGAGCCAGGTCTTCCTCAGTGATCCATCTTCTCGAATGAGACATCCTCACTCAGTGATGCCCTTTTATACACGATGCTGATGGTGGATATATAATGATAATGTCTGGTGGTAACAACCTGTATTTCTTCCGGACATACATCATTGCGCACATCGTGCAGAAGTCGGTGCTTTATCAGCTAGCACAAAGCGTAGTAATATTTCTAAACCGACTTTCCCTGAACCTTGGTGTGTCTTTTTAACTTTTTAACTTTAGTCTTTTTAACACTTAGCCAATGGAATTTACGTCGATCTTCGTCGTTAAGTGGGAATGCTGACACTGGCGCAGCTTCTTAAAATAGAACCTTTACGTTTAGAAATTGAACCAAATGCTTGCGCATGGAAAAAATTTATCCAAATTTGGCCACTATCCAACATCATGTAGTAGATCGTTGATTATTGAACTACGACTGCCTGACACCGACATTGGTGTCAACAATCATGAGATATTCTGCTTTTCTCTAGAATTGACCCATTAGTGACCAAATAATGGCTGATAGGGTTGTGCAGAAATAAGTGATCTATGATGAAGACCATTTTTAAACACCTTTCTTAACAAAACGTAGACACTTGTAATCGACGAAACTTCAAACCTCTTAAAGGCACCACTAATTCCTGTTGTTGATGCTCGGACTGCGAAAAAAATAAGCTAGATGAGTGAAACATTATGAAAATACAGTATAATAACCTCTCTCTGTTCTTTAACTGAGAGTGCGAAGGGCGCGTGTGTCGCAGTGGTCGGAGGCACACTGCAAAACACGTGGAATCGATCCCTGCGCCTATGGCCCACTTAGTCTTCCATCCCTCTGGGGTCGGCAAGACTTGGTGCCAGACTTTCTGAGAGGATAGCAGTACTAGCTCGATACATCGGTAGGCCACTGCGAGTCCTTGTAAAGGCCACATATGCATTCAATCAAGTCCAACGGGATTGATCAACGCTGAGAGCTTTATCCTTTTTTATCTTTAACTGAGCTGAACTTATTCCTAGATATGACAAATCTACGGCAAAATTTGATTTCCGCGCCTGCTCATTTTATCACTAGGTATGTGGGAAATGTAGAAATTGTAAGTACAATCAGATAAAGATTGAGAGAGCCGAGTTTTAGCAGTTTTAGTAAGTCTAACCGAAGAGTTTTTCCCTCCATCGTGAAAGACTTTACAAACTTTTGAAAAAACCTGTCATAAAAATGTACACCCCTTTCTTGTTAACAGTGCAAGAATGTGTTAACGCATTATCTTTGAACGTTATTTTTACTTTTTTTGTGTTTCTTTCTGGTGTTCTTTTTACCGTAAAATATAGCTTTCCCATAGACCTACATAGGCATTTTAGGCACCTCGTTAATAACTCGCCTTATTCAGTGGCTTATTCCCTACTTTTTTCTGATATTTTAAAACTTTTTGCTTAAAAAACCAACATTTTTTTTTAGCAAATTATCTCATTACATAAAAGATGGAGATCGTGCAGCTCAGTGCATGCGTATGAGGTGCTGCTCAAAAGAAATAGGGTCGTTCGTTGGTTCGATCCCACGTCCTGTGGAAACCAACCGATTCAACACTCCGGGGTTGGACAATTAAAGATCAGGTCTATGTGGAAAAAACAAAGCACTTAAATGCTAAATCTGCGTGGTTCCATACAAGTCATCGCATATGCACTAAGGTTAGGGTCCTTATCCAGAGTATGGGAAAACGGTTTCCTAGGGTGGTAAACCACCAACCTTATGGGAAAAATTCTAATCCTATATGAGTGACCACTGGTACATCGTAGCGACCACAAACCAACTAGTCGACAGCAGTATCTTCACACGTGTGGTAATGTTCTGAAGAAGGTCGAGCCGCTGTATTCATCGAAGTCAGCAATGACAAGACTCAAATAGCGTTATGTTTTCACTTCAAAGGGGTTTATGCTTTCTTTTTACAATCTTATCTAACACAGGCAATTTCACAAGCCTGTGTTCGTTTTAGACTTTATTGAAGGAAACAATTATTCGAGCAGTAAAATTTTTACTGAAATCGAATGGGCGTTTTATATTGTTAAGGAAATTTGCAGATGTGCTTGTATGTGATGAGTTGTAGGCGTTCAGCAAATACTTCTTGAGCTATTCCAAACACCGAACTTCTGCTAACCTCGAAATTGAATTCTCTTGATAAGCACACACGAATTTGCTGTTATATAGTATTTGCTCAGAATAGATGACACTTCGGCGGATTTTCCGTTTTTCAGTGCCTAGGAAGATGAACTTAACTGCAACCTAATCAGGGAAGGACCTCGATAAAATCAACAGAACAACAGAGCAACCAAGAAAGGAAACAGCTTCTTGAATTATTCATTGGTCTCTTTAAGATTGCCAGTGTGTATTTCACGGTTAGAAAGACCGTACAGAGTTTTATGGATGGATGATGGACCTCTAAAATTGGAGCTAGACTTGGGCTGGCCCAGCCTTTTCGTGCGCAATGGATGTGAGGAAACGAAATGGATGTGAGAAGTGCTGGGATCCGGACAGTAGACGTGAAGACGGGTCATATAAAATAAAATAAAATAAAAAAATAAAAAAAACACCTGTCAAACTATAAAATATCAGTCGGAGATATTATGGTCTTTCGTGAGAACGAGGCATTCCTCCTTGCCATTCACTTCTGAATTCTTGGGATTCATCCAGAATACTTCGAGAGTTTTACGGGCTAAAGCTCTAGATTCCTGTATGAAGATAATAACTTTTACATAAAAAACTTTTCTATTACGTTGCCCTATCTTATGCATATCAAGTGGGATATTTTGGTCAGCTTTACCTTTACCGCGTAGGTATTTCTTTGATACGGAAACATAGATTTCTACCCGTCTTGCCAATGTATTCGTACCGAGATGCTTTATAATATATAGTGCAAAGCGTGCGTAAACTCATGCCATCACCGTATCTACATTTAGACGAAATTATAAAATTTCGTTTTGTGCATAGACGGTCATACAAGTGACTACGAAATATTTGACGTCTTAGACTATTTGATGATAATGTTTAGCTTTTATTTACTGCCCATTATTTTTTCACGGCAGGATATAGTGTGAAATACAACCACAACGACACTAACATATGAGGACTTTTCAAAACCATAGTTGCATCGAAGCCGCTTACCCTTTCCGGGACCTGAACTGCTATCCACAACACCAGCAGAAATCCTTATTTTGCCTTTCTTTCAGTCAATTTTTTTAAATCATGCTCTGTCATTAAGAAATATTTGGATACTTGCATACTTGGACGGTCCGTTTTCACGAGATGTGCGGACCCCAGCACATATGGCATTCATTCTTTTCTCTCGCAATGGTAGTCCATGGTGGTGGCCTTGTTCGAGCATGGTAGCGCTTGCGAGTCTCATACCGTGATCTGTAAAACTACTGCAGCTGCGGTTACAGCTGATTAACTTTGTTTATGATCACGTCCGCCCAACAGGTGGTCGTCCAACAGGACGTTTGCATTCTCTTGAAGTCCACCGTAATGTTCTTTTCGTTAATCTGTCGTCTTTTGTTCTTTTAATGTAGCCGGCCCACATAAGCTTCACTATCGATGTATATTGTCTTGGATCTCGAAGATGTGACAGATTTCGAAGATCAGAGCTTCCCATTCCGGCTAGATATTGAGAGTGCGGGTTATAACTCTGACGACATCGCTCAAGCGCTCTGTGAGTAGCACAAAGAATTTTTGACGTGGTTGAAGTATCAACCCACGTCTCTGCGGCATATCAGAGCACTGGGAGGACCGTAGAATCGAAAAGATGAGCGCGGATTTCCGGGTCCTTCGGTTGGTCGGTCGCTTCTATGAGAGGCCCGAATGCGGATGAAGCCGCTCTCCTTCTTCTATCCAGTTCCTCCTTCATATTGTTTTCCATGTTTATTGATTGCCCATGGTAAACTTACGAGGTGGTCTTTGCAATGAGAAAGGCATCCAATTCAATTTCTTCGCCTTCACACGCCTTCACATTTTTTATGAACTGGCTCTTCTTTCAAGTTATGCGCAGTCCGATTTTTTTTCACGCTTCGTTATGCTCGTTGATCATCATCTCTGTTTCGCTAGTACTTCTTGAGAAAGTGACGATGTCGTCGGCGAACGGAAAGTGCTAACCGTGTTAGGAGGCATAACTCTCCCTGACGGTGCGCGCTCGTTATTAGAATTGGGGCCGAGTTTCTCACCATCTGAACCCATTTCTAAGATAACCTTGCGTAGGGTCGCATGTGGTTCACATGAACTTCAAGATAGACTCCGCAAAAAAGCTAGAGATGAAGCGCTAAATAAGTGCGAACGACATCAAGTGGGGGCCCCACCAATAGCACCATTTCCCCCGACGTTCTTTAGACAACAAGAGCCCAGTAATGAAGTTGATGTTAAATTTCGGATGTTTGCGAATGAAACTCTCAAAGTCCTTAATCACTATCGCGCGAAAAGATACTGCTCAAACCTCACTCCAGTGCAAAAACGTTGTATGCGAGAGGTACGAGACCTGATAAGGTTGAAAACCATAAGACTTTCCGCTAGTGATAAGGGTGGAGAGTTTGTCGTATTTCCTAATCAGTTAGATGTGGAGATAACGAAGAAGCATCTTGAAGATGCTTCGCTTTATCGCCCATCATCTGAGGAGGAATTCAAAAGTAAATACCGAAAACTAAACCACGAATGGGCCAAAATGGCAAGGGCTGCTGGTTTGAAACCATCAGTTATCTCTCAACTTAAAGTTGTCTTACCAACATGCCCCGTCTTGTACTTACTTATAAAAATTCATAAGTTAGTATCCAACGATGATCTTGCGTCTAACGATCCATCACTATTTAAGGTTAGAGCTATCATTAGCTGCATAGATGGGCCAACGGACAGGATAACATAGTTTTTAACCCTAATATCTAACCAGTTGCTGAAACACATTCCAGCCCATCTTACGAACACCTAAATGTTTCTGGATCGTCTACGTACTGCGCATCCCAGCAGCGCGTGCGTGATGGAGTCCTTCGACGTTACCGCCCTTTATACAAACGTGTCGAATGACTCCGCAATGCAAGCCATATTCGAACTCCTTACACAACACGAAGGAGAAATAAACATGTATGGCTTCAGGATAGAGCACCTGATGGCACTCTTAAAAGAATGCTTGAGCTGCTCAATCTTTAGATGGTCTGGAAAGTACTACGCTCAAATAAGAGGGTTGGCAATGGGGCAATGACTGNGTGCTGCGCAGCCCAACAGCGCGTGCGTAATGGAGTCCTTCGATGTTGCCGCCCTTTATACAAACGTGTCGAATGACTCCGCAATGCAAGCCATATTCGAACTCCTTACACAACACGAAGGAGAAATAAACATGTATGGCTTCAGGATAGAGCACCTGATGGCACTCTTAAAAGAATGCTTGAGCTGCTCAATCTTTAGATGGTCTGGAAAGTACTACGCTCAAATAAGAGGGTTGGCAATGGGGCAATGACTGGCTCCGAGTCTTGCCATTGCATTTATGTCTAAGGTGGAAGCACCGGTGACTGATCTCGGGTCGCTACTCTACTGTAGGTATGTAGACGACTGCTTTGTCCTTTGCTCAACACAAGAGGAAATGGACAAATGCTTCGAATTGTTAAACGCACAGTCAGAGTATATCAAGTTCACCCGAGAAAAGCCGAAAGAAAAATGGCTTCCATTTTTGAACGTACAAATTCACCTATCAGAAAATGGCTACATTACAAAGTGGTACCGAAAGCCAAGTAGTAAAAATATCTTGGTTCATTACCTCTCCTCTCACCCCTCTCACACGAAAAGGCGCTTATAAGAAACATGTTTCGAACAGCAACCAACGTGTGCACGGGAAGAGAGCAGAGAGAGGAGTCCCGGAACTTGGCACGGCAAATAGCCGTTTCTAATGGCTACGAAACTGTAGCTCAGAATAGGTGTAGAGGAAATCGTAGGCCTCCAAACGACAACTCTAGCGATAGTGAGGGTCCCGTTTATCCTACCCTTCATCTCAAATGATATAAGTACTGCTATAAACTTGGTGCTTAAGAAGGGCGGGCTTAGAGAATTCGGTAAACGTAGTTGAAATACCACCGAGTAATCTTAAGCGTCAGCTAGTTCGTAACCGCCTATATGATCGTCTATGTGCAACTCAAAATTGCATAATTTGCCCCAGTGGAAGAGACGGTGATTGCATGAGCTCGGGTATAGTTTATCTGATCTCCTGTAAGACGTGTGGTGACGAATACATTGGCGAAACGGGTAGACAACTCTGTGTCCGCATGAAAGAACACCTAGCCGGCAAAAATAGACCAAATACCCCGCTAGGCACGCATAGGACCCAGAGACATAACGGGGACGACTTCGAACTATGTGTCACGATCCTCGCACGCGAATCAAGAACACAGGCGCGAAAAACTATCGAGGCACTCTGGATTAATTCCAGAAATCCGAAAATGAACCGCGGGGAAGAATGCCTCATTATCACGCGTGATATAGGGCAGTATATAAAACTGCTTTTCTGATGTGAAGGGCACATTATACTTCCACGTGATTTCTGTGCGGTTGGTTTCTACGTGACACACTTAGTGGAAACCTCATAGAAAGCGGTGAGTGTGCAGAGCTGTGTTCAAAGTGATTGAAATCTTGGTTTGGAGTTTCTTTGTTTGGTTATGGAGGCGTCTGGCCGAGTGGATTGCTATCAACTTGACCTTTCCAAGCTCTGAAGAAGGCGAAATCCGCCGAAACGTCAGCTTAATCGTGAACAAAGAATAGTAACACCTCGCGTTTGCTCAACAAAAATACGAAGAAAATCACTTGATCAATGCCGAGGTTAATAGAAAGTCGGTCGTGGCAGTTACTCAAAAGTGAAGCACTGTTAGAGTGGCTCTATTGTGTGGTATGCTGGTGAAAAAATTGTCCGTTATAGTGTTAAACGAATTGCTGGTTCTGCGTGCTGCAGTTCTGAGGGGTGAAGTTGATGCCATCCAGGCTACGCGTGCTCTGCTAAACTCCCTAAAAATCCTAGTGCGTGTGCTCTATTGCCTGAGCAGAGCGACTGGTGGCTTTGCGCAGTCATTACGCCAGAATTCAATAGCACTTTTGTCGGACATTTACTGTGGTGATTGTTGCCTTCATTGCTGGTTTGTATTGTCAGTGCTTTGTTATTGAAAATAAATTTGTTTATTAACTGAATGACGTGCTGTGATGAGTACATTTTAACCGCTGCTCCTTGTCTATAAGTTATTTACGAAATGAGAAGGAATTTTTCACCTTTTGTTTATTTTTGTTTTATTTCGTTTCGATCCGTCCTCACGTCTACAATGCGGATCCCAGCACTTCCTGCATTCGATTCGTTTCTTCACATCCATTGTCCACGAGGATTTTCCTATTTTACCTGTGGCTTCGGTTGTTGCTTGAGGATTTTCATTTCATTGTGAATGTCGTAGAAGGCTGGTCGCGCAATTCTCCCTGAAGTCCTGAGATAGCCTGGCTGGAGCATTCCCTGCAGAAAACGATTTCTTCTTTACCGGGCAAGTCCGGTACCAATTTTCCAACACCGGGGATGAGACGCTTGGTTGGCCCGATGGGGAACAGATCTAGCATCGTGCTCGTGATCAGGGGCTCACTATCACTGAGCCATTCGCTTCCTTAGCTTTTATTTCACCTACCCCCTTAATTCTTGCCTTTTATTTCAAAAATCCCTTTAACTGTGAAGCCTTCTAAGAATGGAATAATCAGAGAGAAGAGGATGGTGAGTACCTCTATCTTTTACTACTTAACTGCCTAATATTCCAAAATGTCTAAGAATCTGCTACATGTAATTGGTGTGCTTCAGCATAAACATTTTCTATCTCGGGTTTGCTGGGAATATTATCGGTGGTGAAGCCATTCAATACCATCGAGATCTTTTTCAGCCTCAACAGACCTAACCGGACACTCATTCCTCTGAAGCTGCGAAATTGGTACGTGACCAATCTTACCTAGACCGACTCACCTCCTGTAAGTCCACAAATACTAGTATGTTCCAAGTACATGCACGTTGTAAGCATCGGTAGAGGAGTACATACTCTGGAAATGCATGGAAACAAGGTAAAATTTTTTGAGCTAAGAATAGGTGGCAAGAAGATTTGCAAGCGACGCAATATCTCATTTTCTCATCTTTCAAATGTTTTGGAAGTTCGTTTTCTGCTAAATTAGCCTGACTAATTCGACTTTTCAATCAAGAAGCCAGTGATACAGTACACTCACATCAGAGGTGTCTAGTTGCAGAGCACTTTGTGGCAAATTTCCGTGTGATATCGAGGTGGGTAACCCGAAAAGCACCTAGAAAAGCTATCTCTCCATAACTGGGAAAAAAATTCGTCAGTCAGTAGAACCGTTCATAAGTTAAAACTGTGCTGAAACCCCTGCTATCTGATAACATTGGCTATTCCAATAACAGATATCCAGCAATCACATTCGACGTAACCATTAGTGAAGATACCAAATTTATGTTACTCTTCAGCATGATGGGAAATAACTGAGCAGAATTAAAAGTAGAGCAGCACAACTATGATGTAACACTTTCTGACCCGCCTACTTTTTCGATTTTGTTGCAAAGTTGGTTCTCTAATGCGGCATACAAAGTAGAGGGTTTGACGAGGTGCATGCCCATTGAATTTATGTTTCTGTGTATTGCAGTTTAAAGATTCTCAAATGGGAGCAGTTGAACTTATTTTATTATATTAGTACATTTATATCACCGATCTTTCTCATATAGGGATCTCCTGCCGATTAGTCGCGAGGCAACGTGGCGCGAACCCAGGTGGCGGATAGTTGGTTATCGGGGAGCAAAAGCGACCTTTGCTTTCCTGAGTCACAGATTGATACAAGGGATGGAGAGCCTATTTCCGCCGATATGGCACCTACATTCCGTGTTTGCGAAGGCTCACTCATCAGATTGCCACGCGACATTCGGTCGGCTAGTGGTATGAATTACAACTGCACTGGAAGAATCCATTGTGGCGAAGAGTTGACAACGTTCTTAAACCGCTCTCTCTGATTTCTGATGAGATCATGTTCACATAGCATTAAGCAAATCAATGAATAGAAAAGAAGTGAAATCCCTATAATGCGGCCGTACCCACCACATACCAATCCGAACGTTTTCATTGATGACAGGTGAAAAACAATGAAGATAGTGAAGGAAATACAGGGACGTGAAGAATATGCCGAACATGAAACTCCCCGAAACGGTTTCCATATCTTCCTTAACAAACGAAATCGTCGTATTCCACATGGGCATCAATTCAAGCTGAATGATGTCATGGTTATTATCTAATCTGGTGAGCGTTCATACATTATACTATCTCATATAGTATACTTAAAATTCAGTTGTTTTTGTAATTGTGTTAATCTGAAAATTAAAAATTTCGTTTCAGAATGACATCGATTTTTAGCAAATGTAGAGACGACGGTAGGAAACGGTTTTTCGACTGCCAGTTTACAATGAAGCACAATGTTAAAGTCACACTCCAACTATAACTATTTTGTTAACTATAGTAAGAAACGACGCAAATCGGTTCCGTCAAGGCTGCAGCAATCAGTGAAGACGAGTTTATTTTTCATTACGAAAACGCATTTACATTTACTGAAAAGTATTGGTTTTCTTTCTACTTTTATTTTTAAAAAAAGGCTCACGAGATGAAATCGCTGCCGGTATTGCTTTTCTCGAATCTCTGTTCGATTGTTATCGACTATAATTCTATAATTAAACGTTTAGTATTACACTTTTATGCTTATAAAAACATCGTTTGTTATTTTCAATGTATTTATGACCGATATGTACATAGACAGTAAGGGCACGTGTGGCGCCTTGGTCGGCGGCGCCCTGCAATACACAGGAGAATGATCCTCGCGCACGTGGCTCACCAAACCTTCCATCCCTCCGGGGTCGGAAAATTGATACCAGACTTGTCTGGGAGGATAGCAGCACTGGCTCGATACATCGGTAGGCCACCTCAAGTCATTGTAAAGTTCAGATATGCATTCAAGCACCTCCAACAATGCTTAATGAAGTCGGACGCATGACACATACCTCAGAGATTGATAAACGCCAAGAGTTTTATCCTTTTTTATGTATATATGCAATACATGTTTTTTCAGTGATAGTCAAAGAAGATTTTGTGTACGAAAACAAGTCAAACAGATATGGATAGACTGGTTTTCTTCACGTGCATTGTTCACTTCGTTGGACTTTTCGTATATTTATTACAAAGTGTAATGCTTTCTCACTTTTCATTTTGTGATTGAATTACTGTCCATTTTCTTTTTTCAATAAGCAATTTCCGCAACTTTTCATCGCATCGATTGGCACGAAAACTTCAGAGAAAATATTCTGCCCACAGCTAGTCGAATGAGAAGTAGACCACCGTTTTATCTTCCATAAAAGACTATAACGTTTGATATGAAGAAAGAGCTCAGATTCCGGGTACGTTATTTCTATTTGAGTTAAGATAACTAGGTTTTATCTCATTTTGGTGGGTGGTCTTAACGGGCTGCAGCAGATTAGATGATAAAGAATGATTGAGGGTATACTGTACTCTACCACCTCGTTATCTATTGGAATTCTTAACGACGCTTCATACTTTATTTAAAACTCTTTTCGCTTGCTATATCCTTTAAATAACGAGTAGCACGTGGTAGGAGGGGAGCTCATTTGGGATCTGATAATGAGTTCTCTTTTCAACCTAGTTCGACTCTCACACTTGCTGTTAGTCATTCACGGTATTCGTTTTCTTGTTTCCACCATTCTCTCTCATGAAAGAGCTTTCGAGATCTGTTAGTTACTCGTGTGGCATATTTTGAATTGACCGTTGGATTGAATTCAGGAAACTCTTTATGTTTTTGCTCTACTGGGTTGGCATGTGCCGCATACACATACATATTCATACACACAATGTGAAGATGCTACTGCATGTATACAGCTTATGTCTTGCATGCTTCACATGTTCGGCTCACTCCAGAAAAGAATGACAAGCAACCTGTGCGTGGTGCAACTGGTATATACGGAATAGCTTTCTGAGTAAAAAAAGGCAGGAATTTAAAAGCTGTAATACTCTTTGTTTTCCTTTGCTGAGCTGACCCTATTGAAGAAGCTCCAACGCGTTACAGGATAACTGGGAACTTGATCAGTTGTCCGATTGAGGTGCATTTTAATTAAAAAGTTGCGAAAGAGATTCGCGGGTAATAATCGTGCGGCGCGGTTGCTTGCGCTTGGTATGCGGTTCTTTGTCAACGTTTTGCAGAGTGGTCCACGTGTGCTGCCCTACGAATTTTGAGAAGCCTAACCTAACTCGCACCTAATTCGACGAACGTATTTTTCAATTACTTATGCTTTCATCACAAAGTTGAAGAGCAGTGAAATAGATGGTATTTGGACCCTCACATAAGAAAAGTCTATCGACCTAATGTCACCAGTGATCAACAAATTAACTACAAGAGCGAGTCATTATTGCAAAGCCTCATTGTTGTCACTCCTCATCTGCTTTGAATTTATCTCAACAGCTACTTTGTCCATTCGTTGAGAATAACACTCGTTTCTCCTTCTTTTTTCTTGTTTCCGTTATTTGGAAACCTTGCATCGTTTTCTTCACAAGCAAATTATGTTCTGCAGTTCGTGAAACTTCTCACCACTCCTAAGCACTATGAGTGCGTATACTCCACACGGAAGAAAGAAATGTGTGTTATGAAGGAAACTCTGCTCGAATGTTTCCATCCATTAAACAGTTTTCGTAGCGTGTAACATTTCGTGTGTATGTCTGTGTTGAGAGAAAGCCGGCCATCCCCCATAAAAACGAGTTTACCTGCCGTATCTTTCACTGCTTTTTGATAAGTCATGGTGTCTTCAACTGACTAACACATGCCTATAATAATACGTGTTACGGCATCAAACCACTTAACCGTTGAACTGAACTCATTCTTTACCATCGTTTACACTCAGATTCAAAAGCCGTCAGCTGCAGTTATGTGATCGTTGTTGTCGTGGTTATGGTTTCTGGCTTGCAATGCTTTCTGATGTAATTTTCTCACAATCACCCTAGATAAATATTGAACATTAAATTCAGTTTTCCAACCATTCTTAGTTAATCTATTTAGGCTTGCTTCTAACCCACATAAAATCGCAATAAACGAAATCGTTTTGACCACGCCCTTCTTTTATCATTATCTATCTAATCAATGCTGCGATAAAAACTAGTGGATTTAAATAGTAGATAAGAGCAATAAAGCTCGAAAACTTCGTCGATGATTCTAAATGCCTTACTTCCATGCTGATATCTGCATTCTCACGAGATATTGAATCTCAAAATAGGAAGACGAACACGTCATGTACTTGAAGGCCACACATCAGTATACAGTTACGTTCGCGTTTATTTCATGACAAGTGCACATCGTAACGATGTTACTAAAAGTACTTCAATATTGTGTCATCAGTTGTACGATTCATTTCACTTCCATCAAGGATGGCGGCGAGCAGAAATTCGAGTCGGAAAAATCTTCCAGAAGAACTTGAATCACAGAAAAGCGTCGTCTTTCCCATTGAAGATCTTTATGTTGACGATCCAAAAAAGAATACAAAAGGCAATCGTTGGCTACTTTTTTTTGTGTTTTATAGATTTCTATCATCTATAAATCTATTTTAAAAGATTGCACTTTAGGATATGATGTTACATCTGTGAAAACTCTTTCCAACGCTTCTGATACTAAGGATCCAAAAAAGCAATGTTGCTTCTTAGCAAAATATGGGGTTGTGTACAGTTTTCGCGATCGTACTGATATTCAAGTAAGTTCACACTGTCTTCATCATACGTCTGTTTTCCTCTCTGCTTACTGTGTTTTGCAATAAGGTTACCTAATCTTCACTCATGCTGAGTGCATCTCTGAAGAAACATGCACGGATTATTAGTCTGTCTTTGTTATTATGCGATTTCTCCTTGGCAACAGTTTCTGAATTCAGTTATATTTAGCTCATGATTATTGGCCTTATATGCGCTCTAGTTCAAGCTGGTATTCCGCCATTCGTATGGCTAGTAATGGGCAGTTTTGTATCATTGTCCATTACTCGTGAGGTTAGAAGGTTTACTAAATCGTTTTTTTTTCGTCAACAAAAAATTCCACGTAATAAGAGGAAAACCGTATAAAAAACATTCACTGTGATGACGCAGACGGTTTTACCGTTCTGGCGGCCGTCTCTGCAGCGAGGTCAACTCGGTTCTTGTCAAGCACGAAATTGCATTCCATTCCGTAATGTGTCTTGAAAACCTGGCTATATTTGGCGCATTTAACCTTGTTTAGTACGTATTAGGTAGAGGAAATGAGTTGGAAACTTCCAATGAATGACTTCTCATTACAATACTAACTAGTAAAGTCATGCCAATTCAAATCACACCCAAAGCTTTATATAGAAATGCCCTAAAATGTAGAATAATGCCTAGATTATCCCTAGTTGAAATCAGTACCGATTAAAAATCAACGACAAGATTATTGCAGTTGTTTAATGAAAAAATACCAACGGCTTTTATGAGTTAAAGATTTTACAATTATGCATAGCAAGTAATAGTTTTTTTATATTACTTCAGAAATAAAATCGCTAAAATAGAACATTACTTCTTACTCCTTCATTTGGTTCAAAATTATCCCTTTTTCCCGTTTTTCAACGAGGAATTTAAAACGCTAACTGATTGACGAAAGGCACGTGTGGCGCAGTTGCCATAGGAGCCCTGCAACACACACGCGGAATAGATCTCCGCGCCCATGCTCCACCAAACCATCCATTTCTGGAGGGTCGGCAAATTGGTACCAGACATGTCTGCGAGGATAGCAGCACTGGCTCGATACATCAGTAGGCCACCTCGAGTCATTGTGAAGGCCAGATGTGCATTCAATCACTTCCATGCGATGCTTAACGAAGTCGAATGCATGGCGCATCGCTCAGGGATTGATTAACGATGGGAGCTTTACCCTTTAGAGGCTAACTGAGTGACTGCACATCTTTAATATATCTATTTTTAAACTGTCTTTTTTTAAACCTTTTTATTTACTGCCTATTCTTTTTAACGGCAGGGTATTTTGCGAAATATAACTACTAAAATGCTGAGATATTTGCAAAACTCCGGACAGCAGGTCTCTGCAGTGGGAAAGGAACGCGCTGTTTTCCTTTCCGGTGAGTAACGCGTTCACCACCACACCAAGCGGGTCCACACATAATGCCCTTCCATGAAGAAATAATAGGCAGTAAACAAAAAGTCAACATTGGGAAGTGACTCACATATGCAGAAACCGAGAACGCACAACAGTACCTCGTTGTTTTCTTGAATGCACCAAAATGAGAATCGTTTTATCCGTATTGATGATGCCAAGATGCCCAGATATTAAAAAACGCGAAAAAAAAGAAACGTGGAATTGTAGTAACAGAGGAATGATATAGGAAAGACGGCTGTTCAATACCACAGATGTAGTGAATGGATCGAGTTTCGACGAAGAATTTACTGGATCCGCAACACCAGCATTTATTGCTATGCTGTCGTTATCTGTCAGTATGTTCATCGCTGCATTTATTCAGGCGAGTGAGTATTTGACTAATTTGTTACCTACTGGTATCAATGACAGGTATTCTTAAACTAATATATTCGTGTAATCGACGATGTTGAGAACTGAAGAGTTTATGCGAAATTTAGCATATTGAACAAAATTTGAACAATTAATTTGTATTCACCGATGCTTAAGCGAAGAACCGTTGACGGAGAGTTTTTGGTGGGTATTAAACAGTTTCACCAACCAGGTATGCTCGCATCGCCAATCAGTTCATGACATTTATCATTAAGAACAGCTGTGGTATTTGCACTGCTCGTTATGGTCCTATTAACAAGACTTTACCGTTTTTTCGACTCATATTAACCAGTTGCAATTTTTCAATAAGTTATTGCTTTCTAAAAAGATAACACTATGGAATCATTTATGAAGTAATTTAAAAATGACTAGTAACTGATGACCAGGTATTTCTCACTGGTTCAACTTAGACATGTAGTAAAATCTAAAAGGAGATAACTTTATAGAGACTAATATTCATAAGGTAGAAGGCGATTTCATTGTATGCTGTCGACTACCATTATCCTAAACATCCCATCACAAACCATCGCTGAACCTTTGCGCAATATCCAACAGAAAGTAAAGACTTTCTCGAGTTTCTTGTTCTTTCTTATAAAAGGTTTTTCCTACGCTTTCAGAGACTGGCATGGGAAGTGTCTGGCATTAGACAAGTTTTTCGTGTCCGAAGAACGTATGTTCGTAAAATGCTTCACATGGATGTTTCATGGTTGGAGAGCCGACAAAGTGGTCAGATGGCAACGATGCTTCAAGAGTAAGAACGATAAAATACTTGGATATCGTTTACACCATAAGCTACCGGATAAAACACAGTTTGTTTTTTATAAATAAATAAACATATCATACTGGTGGGGCGCGTGTTGTGCAGTGGTTGAAGTTACCTTAAGGCACAGAAGCCCTTATTCGATCCTGTGGCTAAGGAAACGAGACCCGTCATCCTTGTAGCGTAAGGATACCGGTAGGGAACGTGTCTGGAAGGATGAAAACCACAGACGTAATACTTTACTAGGTTATATAACAACCTCGTTTATGCTTAACAGTCGACGATACCGACTTATATTAACGGGTTATGCTGACTAATACTAATACTACTATACTAACTTAAGAGATTTGAAGCCTCAGTAAATCGTTCTATAGGTATTGGCCAAGTACGCGTTTAATCACTTTTGCCATCCTCAACAGAGTTTAACTGCATAGCGACCTCCCAAGAGAAGCCCCATCGATTGAAAAAATACCGTAGCTAATCGTTTGTGTATCATCTGTTGTCCCGTTGTTCGTCGAATCAATCGAGTGTGCGCCAGTAAATTTTTCTTTTTTCCTCTTGCGTGGGCGAGTACCCCAGTGCTCTCTACTCTAGGTACTCGTTAAGCGGCATATCTGCCTTGTAGTTCTGGTGAAGAAATCCAGCCACCGATCAGGTCGGTGACCTTTCCGCAGAACGTTTGGCATCCCGAGAAATCTAGTAACTAACGGCTCATTCCCGTCGGCGCGAATAGAACGGAGTCTTTCATTTTTGATCTTAATACGTAGATCGGAGCGTCGGATTTTTTTTCTCACTAATGTTACACGGGAAACTCCTAGCATCCTCCTTTCGCCTGCACTTTCAATGACGTTGAGTGATCTATCACACCACCTACAAAAGTTTTTGACGCATACGTTAAGGCGGGAAGAATCTTGGAGTCGAAAAGGTGGTCAAAAACTCTGATAACCTCTGATTTCTTTACTGCATCCTCGATGCTGTTGCTGCCGAAGCCACTGGTTTCCTTCTGCTCTACTCTGGAGCTAGGAACGGCATATTCCCAACAGGCGACTAATAAACTGAATAAGTTCCAGTTTATAGTGGTTTCGGTGCTTTGCTTTTTGAGTTTAGCGGCCTTTCTACTTTCCAAGAAGTGAAATCTTAGGTTGAGGAAGTGATGGTATAATCTCATGTAGATGAGAAAATAGCGACAACGGTTAGACGAAACATTCTACTTACTATGATGTGGTCTGTTTCGTTAGGTCACTCGCCATTGGGTGACTGCCATGTCCAGAGGTAGGAATACGGCGAGAATACTTCTGGAATTGCGAGTTGTCGTAAACAGTTTTTTTCGTCATGATAATGTTAGCGTTTAAATCTTTAAAGATGACCATAGAGGAAGTATAGACTTTTCTGTAGAACTTCTCGAACTCCAGTAGAACCCTTCGACTTCGACTTCGTCATAGCTTGATATCGGTGCTTACGTGACGAAAATTGTCAAGATCACTCCACATTTCATCAATTGTAAATGTCCGATTAGGTTTGTTAGTTGTTTAAATGAATCGAAGTTCATGGCCATTCTCATGTTGACTAAAGCAGCGATGCCGTCGACTTTATTGTCTTATGATCCAGGGAACACTTTTTTCCTGAGTCATGGGCGGGTTTAAATTGATGGCATCTTCCCGTTTCTGCCAGTCCGATGATGTCGCACTTTACTGCATGATCGTATCCTCTATAGAGGACTCATATATAAGTGTGTGTGCATTGGAGGTACATATGTTCGCCTTAGTCCTCTGCGATTTGTGTAACTTAGAATGGTCCTGAGATTTCAGCAGCCTCTCCGCACTCGTCTTACCCAACGCTGCCAAATCGGGAGCTGTTCCGAGGTCAGCGAATTGATGCCCGTCCATTTTACTGTGCTTAGTCTTTGCTACTCACGTGTAGTTTGATGAGTTCTTGACATAGGGGATGGTTATACTCACTGGTAGCTTTCCAGTCCTTCCCGCAGCAGAAAAGGGAGCTCATTTGTTGGAGGCGACCCCAAATTGCCTCCCATATGCTTACCTGTAAGTTGATTGCAGGCTTTTGGCAGAATTGATCTGTAAAATACAATTCTCATAAACAAGAACACACTCATGCACGCAAACTTGAGTGCATCTTCCTAAACACAGAAAGTATGTGTCAAAGTGGCACAGCAGAAATGGGAACTCCACTCTGATCCACCGGCGTCTCTCGAAAGGATGAGCTCGCCTGTCTTTCCCAATTCATCCCCAGTCTGCCTCCTGTGGACACCCCACGTTGCATCGTGTATATTCGGTATGAAATCACTCTTTGAGAGGAATCGTTGGCTGCAGCTGAAACGTTCGCTAATGTTTCGCAAGATTTTTCCGTTTTCCCAGAGTTGTGCTGTCATTGAATTTGAATTTTCGTTTTCTTGGGAAAGTAATTCCATCTACACATGGGTCACATTCCACGTGTTTACATTAAAACGGACGGAACTGCAAAACCAGTGGGTTAGGCATTGAGAAATACAATTTGCAAGTTAAAAAATTCGTATCAGGATCTCAAGAACAGTAAGCCTATTAAAAATAAAAGGACAATGCCCTCCACATTGGTTAATCTCCTAGAGGTAAACCATAAATTTTAATCTATTTAGTGCATTGTTGTTTGAATACATATTTGGTCTACAAAACAATTTTCGGTAACCTAGCCATTCATCAAATTAGTGTTGCTACCATCCCACACAAGTCTGCTACCCATTTTCTGCACTAGGATCGATGTAGGGCTTAAATAGGTCTGATTCTTCAGAAAATCTCTCGGTGCCATAATATATAACTTCTATATGCTGTCCACTATTCTTTTTTCACGGCAGGATGTGAAATACAACCGCAACGATACTGGGATATTTGCGAAATTTGGACCACAGGCCCGATCGAGCCACGACTACCCTTTTCTGGGGCTCACATGTTACCCACACCAACCATGAGGCCCTCGTTCTGCCCTTCTCTCAGACATTCTTTTTACCATAAAGGTGCCATCAGCAATCTTCCATCAATGGAGATGATAGGAACACTTCTGGAAAAAACTGCTCCTCGGTTTTTTTTCTTTTGCTTCTCTGCTCTTTTCCTGAGCATTTACATTCTTTTCAGGCATGCTGATACGATTTATAGTGGAATTTCAGACAATATACCGATGGTAATATTTATTTCTTCATATCTTGTTGTAAACGTTGGTGAGTAGTAGTGGTTTTACCCTTAATTTTTACTATACAGGATAAATTTCATGAAGGAGCGATTTTAGTTGTATGTCTTTTTATTCAATGGGATGTAACGCTATTGATGTGTTCTGTGATTCCAATGTTGATTTTGAGCCGAATTCTTTTCAGTAAGGTCAGATAACCAAGTGTTATGCGACTTTTTAGTTTTTTCTTTTTACTGCCAATTTCGCTTTTTTCAGTGGTTTTCGAAAACAATGGAACAAGAGTTGATGTTGCAGAATAAAATCAGCAATTTGGTAAATGAGACATTCAGCTGCATCAGAACAGTGATTAGCTTTGCTGCACAAAAGCAAACTATTAACAAGTAGTATTGGCTTCTTTTTTACCCCTTTTATTTACTGCCTTTTTTTTAATGGCAGGGTATGTTTCGAAGTATAACTTGTATATAATGCTGAGATATTTGCAAAACTCAGGACCGCAGGTGTACGCGGTGGGAAACGAACGCGCGCTGTTGTCCTTACCGGGGAGCAGCGCACTTCACCAGCACACCATCCGGGTCCCGGAGTTTTGGGCTTCTTTTTTGTTCCGTTTTTTAAAAAGTTGGCATCAGTTAAGTTGACTGCATGTTAGAGAACGTGTATGCACGAATTTTCATCTACTGAATTCTTCTTGGTAAAGTGTGCAGCGCATTGGCTAGAGGTGTTCTTCAATACACTTGTAGTCTCTGGTCCGACCCTACGCCCTAGCAGATCAATTCCTCTATCATTCTGGAGTTGGTGAATTGGCACCAGACCTCTTTGATAAATTAAAAGTAGTGACTTGTTAAATCAATAGTTCATCAGAAGTCATCGTTTAGGTCAGATATGCACTCAGTTTCCTTCAATGGAGTGGAATACATTGCGCATCCCTTAGGGGTCGATCAACGTCGAACAACTTACTTTTTACACTTTTATACCATTTTTAAAATAATTCCTTTAAGTTATGACCTAAAACGTTGGCGAAACACAAATTTTTACATTAAAAGGACTGTCTTTTAGTTCCAACTATTTAGATTTGAACGATTATCTATGGAGAGTAATAAACTAAACGAATCAAGATTACGTTCATCAACTGTCTACGACAGCTTAACGCAGGTGCAGACACTATTCTTCGTAGCGGTTGGCGACACACAGTGTTTCGGCGGTAGCGTTGTGATTAGACCATTCCAAAGTATTTTAGTCCTTTATTTCTTCAGATCCTTCTCACTGAACTCACTTTTACGGCAGCATTGTGTTATGGAATATGGCGAGTAGGTGATCAGTCGGCAGGAAAGCTAGCAGCAGTAAGTTATCTTAATACATTTTTCCTTTTTTCGCCTTTAATTTTTGCTTCATATTTTTTATCCATATTTTTTTCACTTTTCTCTTCTTAGATGAAGGAATATTGGTTTTAGTGTCACATAATAATTATTCTTCCTTATTAATATCACTGAATGGTAATCGAATTGATTGTTCCCTAAATACTCGGACAAGTCCAATAGTCTTCCATAAGAAAGTTTCGAATTTTTCTTCAGTAATCCTATCACTGTGCTTCTTGTGATTAGACCTTTACAGTAGCTTGACAAAACTATTGAACACTTCATTAACCTACGTCTTTGATTACTGAGTGATTAACATCGCCTTAGAAAAAAAATGTAGCGGTCTCAAGAAGGTCATCCAAATAAAAGCTCTTTATCAAATAAACTTTTTTCGACCAATAAAGTAATATCGCACACGTTCTTTAGCTTGCTATCAATATGTTGTACATGTGTGTGACGTCAATCTCGATCGGATTTCATATAAATGGAGCTTCAACAGCTCGTGAAAATGCCGCACAACTAAGAAAAATCCTTGGTGGGAAGTGTGAACATTGTTATGCAATTACTGAATATCGAAAATAAGTAAGTATTTCTAGACGAGTCACCGAAAATCGAAAGAGATTACGGTTTCGCGGGTGATAATCCAAAGCAGTGCTTACCAGCACCCAAATACCGCCGGCAAAGCATGAAGTTTATGGGTAGGTTGAAGTGTTCTAATCATTTCCAGTCTACTAGGATTAACTTTAGAGACATGTGGCCGTGCACACCAATATAAACACATACGTGGGTGCGCGTGATGGACCTTATGTATTGAATTAAATTCATGTCCTTTTCGATTGTTTATGTCGCTGCAGTTGGTTTGCAATAGTTTTTAGATTCAACCAATACCTTATTCCACACAGAAATTTTGCTAGACGTGGCTTTTCAACAGCTATCCTCTAAACGTGAAATTTCACAAAAACCTTTTTTCGAGCCCCAATGCATAACGCACACCACGAAAAAGTGGGCGTAATCGTGTATATATTGAAATTAAAACGTCGAAAAACACTTTCAAGCTGATTATTCACTTCCAGGAAAAGGAGCGTTACAATTTTGCGATATCCACTTTAGTTATCCGAGCAGACCTGATGTCGAGGTTATTTCTTATGTTGCATGCATAACAACCCAGTTTCGTTTTCGAATGGTTACTAAGAATGCTTTAATCAGTTTTTAAGGTCTTGAAGGGAGTAACGTTTAGTGTCGAATCCGGTGAAAAGATCGCCATTGTTGGTTCCAGTGGCTCGGGAAAAAGTACACTTACAGCTTTATTACTTCGATTCTACGACCCAGATAGTGGGGCGGTGAGTAACAAAACAGTCTAATACACGAGAAAACTGCCGTCAGTCATGCTCGTAGCACAGTGCTGTAAAATGCCGATGCCTCAGAACTACCATCGTGTTGGCGATTCAAACAGTCTAAAGCCCTGTTTCTTCTAGTGTGTCAAAATAAACGCTTTAATTCAGCACAACAAACACCGAGCATTACCTAAGGAAACACCATCTAGTCGTTGCATATCTGAATTTCTTTAGTCCCATACTTTAGAAACGGGTCTTTATCAACAACTTAGTTAATCATCTAGAATTTCAGATATGCTGTAGTAATTACAGAAAAGTTTACCAATCTTTTTTAATGTTCTCGTGATGTTACGCTATAACCAGCATTTAGCAAATACCCATTATCCTCTGTTATTCCACTTTTTATACCTGGCATATTCCTTGAAAATCAAACCATTCCGGCTTTAAGATATTTAGGGATCATTGATGCATAAGTAACCTCACGAAGAAAGTCTCAACTCTTATCATCCACTTCACCTGGTAGGGTCGTCACTTAAGTGGCCCAACTTCCCTTGCTTTAGTTAAAAACATTTCATCTACACGAATACCCAGAGCTTCTACGTATCATCTAATATTACCCCAACTTCCCATTGTTACGGCTTTTTTTCAGATTTTGCTAGACGGTGACAACTTGAAAACATTATGTCCTGATGAGCTGCGCGGTATGTGCTCTCTGGTTTCGCAGGAACCCGTACTTTTCGATGGAACCATCAGTGACAATATCCGATACGGCCGACTTGATGCTACACAGGTCGCAAATATATTCTCCCACATGTTTCTTCAAGTACATTGGTTTTTCCCACGTTTCGTTCTTACCGCAAATATATATGTATATATATATATATATATGTATATATGTAGGCATATACATATACAGTTATGTACATATATATGCATATATACAAACATGTACATATGCTGATTGATTTTCAGCAGGAAATAAACAATGCCGCCCGCAAAGTCGGTGCTTGGCAATTTATTAGTTCGTTACCCGAAGGAATGCAAACTAGAGTAGGCGACAGGTCAGTCGTTCTTCTACACCTTCCTCGAAACTTTTTTTTGTTTTGTATATATGTATATATATGTATACATGTAAACTTACTTAGTTGGACACCTAGACGGTCCGTTTTCACGAGTTGTGCTGATCTTGGCTCATTTTCCATTCATTTCTTTGCATCGCAGTAGTCGTCCATGGTGGTGGTTTTATTCGAGAATGGTGTTGTCTGCGATTCTTAACACTGTCATTTATAAAATAGCTACACCTGTGAGTACAACTGATTAACTTCGGTTGCGAACACATCTTCAAAACGTGCAGGTGGCCGTCCTAAGGAACGTGTGCATCCTCGTCGAGTCCAGCCTATAATTCCTTTTGTACATCTGTCGTTTGTTCTTCTGTAGCTGTAGCTAAATTGTAGCTTAAAAGTCATTTCTTAGTGTGTTTTAAATGTGTCGACCAAATTATTTGCTTACTTGGATACTTGGACGGCGAGTCTTCACAAGCTGTGTGGAGCCCAGCACATATGCCATTCGTTCCTTTCTCTCGCAATCGTAGTCCATGGTGGTGGTTTTGTTCGAGCATGGTAGCGCTTGCGAGTCTCACACCGTGATCTGTAAAACAACTGCAGCTGCGGGTACAGCTGATTAACTTTGTTTACGAACACGTCGGCCCAACATGTTGGTGCCCGTGCTAGGGGACGCTTGCATTCTCGTGAATTTCACTCAACAGTTCTAGTTGTCCGTCGTCCGGTCTCAATATAGTCAGCCCTTCTCTGTTTCGATATCGATTTGTATTTTTCCGGAACCTGAAGATGTGACAGATTTCGAAGGTTAGAGCTTAGCTAGATATTAAGCGTGCTGGTTGCATTTCAGACGATATTGAGAGTGCCGGTTATATTTCAGAAGACATCGCTCAAGCGCTCTGTGAGTAGTGCGGAGTATTCTTGACGTGGTTGAAGTATCAGCCCACGTCTCTGCAGTATAACAGAACGCTGGGATGGCCGTTGAATTGAAAAGGTAGGCGAGGATGTTCAGGTCCTATAGTTTGCGAACGGCTTCTTTGAGAACCTTGAATGCGGCCCAAGCTGTCTTCTTCTGTCTAATTCCTCCTTCATGCTGTTTTCCATTTTCGTCAGTCACCCACGGCATACGTACGAGGTGGTCTTTGGAATCAGAGCCATCCAGTTCAATTTGTTCGCCTTAGCACCACGGGTTTTTCATGAACTGGGTCTTCGTCATATTCATGCGTTGCCTAATCTTTTCTTCCGCTTCGTTGAGTTTATTGATCATTGTGTCTGTTTCCTTGGTGTTTATTGAGAAAATTGAGATGTCATCGGCGAAGCAAAGATTTGATAGGAATTTTCCGTCAATACGTATGCCTTTCCCATCCCAGTCTAGTAATTTCATCATCTATGGCAGTGCTGTACTAAAAAGCTTTGATGATATCGTATTGTCTTATCGACTCTTTTTCTATGGCTATGGTAAGAGGTCGTTGGAAAAGCTGTATTTTCGTAGTGCATTTCCCATAACAGTAAGACAGAGTTCTTATGTGGAACGGGCCCACTCCTCTGTTGACGAGCGCTGATAAGATTGCACTCGTTTCGATGCTATTAAAAGCCTTTTCATAGTCGACAGAAGTTGGGGCTAAGGGCAGGTAGTATTCCCGACAACCTAGCCAAATACCTTTCAAAATCCTGCTTGCTCAACTGCTTACCTCTCATCCAATGTCCTTGATATACGCGGTTAGACAGCCTTTGTGAAGAGCTTCTAGAGCACACTCGAAAGGCATATCATATCATAGCTACGAAGATGCCTTCGGTTACCTTTTTAGGTTAGGCAGAATAAACGTGTGCGACGTTCTTCACTGGTCTCGAATTTTTTTTCGTTTTGAATTTGGGCTGTCATATCGTTTTCGAGATAAAAATAAAGGAAAAAGGTCTCCACGTTGATCAATCCATGAGGGATTGCGCCCATGCACTCGGGCACTTTAGGCATCCTTGGAGGTGATTGAATGCATATCTGGCCTTTACTATAACTCGCTGTGGGTTACCAAAGTATCAAGCCAGTGCTGGTATCCTTTCAGACAAGTCTGGTTCTCATTTTAATCACCCCGGTGGAATGGAAAGCCTAATGAGCCACTGGCGCGGGGGTCGATCCTGTGTGTATGTGTCGCAGGGCTCCTCCGTCAAATGCTTCACAAGTGCCTTCGCGTTTTCGAGAAGTACATGTTAATTGTAGCCTTCAGCTTTAGGGAAGTCGGTGGTGGTATTATCCTGGAGCTGTGCCTCTTTTCATACTTTCTGTCGCAACTCGAACCTCCGACGAAAGGACTTCGTGTTGATTTTCTCCAGCAGGGATTTCTGGGTCCGAGACAGGGTGCTTAACGGAAAAGCGTGGTGTAGAACGTTACTGTTACTACTTCCTTATCACGCTGAAAGTTTTAATGACCCCCACAGCTCTTCTGGAGCTACCATTTATTACTACCTATTTTAAACGTATAGCAGTAGGATCAACCTTCAGTTTCTCTCCTTCCGCAACTTACTGATAGTAATGGAGATGCGATCCGTTCATCTTGTCCTGTACCAATGATGTCCTACCTAACCCGAGATTTTTTAGCCTGTCACCGCCTGACGTCATTGGCGGGAGCACACAGTGTACGAGGGTATTGCGGCTGGCCTATTGCTGGTTGAGCAGTTCGGCCCTCCCTAGACTCTTGATTTAACCTTGCAATGACGTATCGTATTTTTCACCACGATGTGGATCCGAGGGAAGTATCTTCTTGGCAACGATTCCTTCGTTCGGTCTTCTTACTAGTTGGTTCGGAGGCGATGTTAAAACCGAAGCCAGAAACGAAAGTAGGAATCAATGTAGGTATGAAAATGCTCAAGGAAAATGAAGACGCGAAAAAATCGCACACATCTGGTTATATATACGCGTATATGTATGTTATATACATAGGCTCCTCGCAACGCTTTACCTCCTCATCGTGGCTGGGAGGTGTTCGTGGGTGTCAGGCTGCGATGTGAAGCGGGATTGTTAATCACTCAGTAATCGAAGCAGTAGGGGCGATTCATCCTCTGGCAGCGTCTCCTAAGCTGAGAAGGAGTCCGTCCTTTCCATGAGGATGCCTAGCTAAGGGCAAATCAATACCAGGATCCACCACTGTCCTGATATCAAACTAGTCGCGTGGTGGCAAATCTTTCTCTGATCCATGACGACTGTGTCGACGGCGTGTGGTGGTGAAGACCTGTGATAGACTTTGGTCAGACTAAGCTTGGAATTCTAGAAAACCACAATGGCTAGACCAGCAAATCTCCGAAAAAATGGAGGTTATGCTGGGGCCCATGCAACCACTGAGGACGAGCCATACAAGTATCTAGGTGTATATATTCATATGTGCTGCGGAATTGGTATTGCTTGAGCAGTAATAAGGTTCAACTATTTGTTTCCTATCTAAATTACCACATTAATTTTTTAGAGGTCTACAGCTATCAGGAGGCCAAAAGCAAAGAGTTGCTATCGCCAGAGCAGTAATAAGGTCTGTCTAACTTTTAGATCTTATGTGGAACTCTCCTCTCTAGGTTAGGACGCAAGCGCGCTCCAATCCATTAACGCGTGAATCAGGGAACGGCAGGAATTCAAACTTATAGCAAACAATCTCATTACAGCACCGTCTTAGTTGCTGAAAGTGATCTGAGTTGAAAAAAGGCAATGAAATTCCCGTATGTTGTTGCAGCCGAGTATTGTTCGAGTATTTGGTGGAAAAGTCTGAATTGACGTTACATTACATTTATAGGCACTTTGATGCTGAAATATTTACAAAAAGTGTACCGCAGGCCAGATCGAAGTCTCGGTTGCCCTTTCAGGGGCTCACATGTTACCCACTCCACCACTGAGCTTCTTGATTTGACTTTCTCTACACCAGTCTTCTCTGGCGCCATCAGCAATCGTCCGCAAGCGGGAATGATCTGGGAAGCATGAATCGGCATTGGTCTCAGTTGGCCTGAGGTCCAATTTTTGGAAATATCTCAGCATCATAGTGGCTGTATTTCACATCATTTCGTGCTATGAGGAATAGTAATCGGCAGTAAATAAGAAGTTGACATTGTGATTTCGACTATAGCTTCAGCCTAACTGAGTTCATTACCGATTTATACTCTCCAGATCATTCCCGTTGGTGGCTAATTGCTGATGGCACCATTATGTAGGAAACTATTTTTCTAAAACAAAGTAGCGACCTCAGTGGCGCATTGGGTAAATTGTGATGCCTCGAAAGGGTAGTTGCAGGTTCGATCTCGCATGGAGTCTAGTTTTTGCAAATATGTCGGCATCATAGTGGTTGTATTACAGTTATACTTTCGTAACTTTTGCTACTCAATCCTACAAGCACGTTTTGTCCTTCTCTATTATTTCGTTTAAGAAAACCAACAGTAATGCTATTTGATGAGGCGACCTCGGCGTTAGACAATATTCATGAGGAAGAGGTCCAACATGCGATTGATCTTGCTTCGGAAGGTCTCACTACCATAACAATAGCTCATAGGTAACTACGGCAAGCAAATACTAATTGTCACCGGTGCGGGAACGTTGTACAAGATTCAGCTTCGTATTAACTTAAGGCTATCATCGGTGAGAAATTGTGATCGTATTATTGTTTTGGACGAAGGTAGAATTGTTGAAGAGGGACCACCTGATGAGCTTCTGGGAAAGGAGGGCGGAAGATTTCAAAAAGTAGGTGCTCACAGTTTTTCTTTTACAATTAACAACTAACAAGAGCTGTAATGAGCAAAATTTATAGCTTTACAATGATCAACGGATTGATTTACTCGTACACCAGCAGCCTCTTAAGCCGAATCTGGTGTCAACGGCCTCGCTTGCCCTTGGACAATATTACCGACCACAAATAGTAGGTTTGCTTCGTAAAAGGGAAGTCCATCAGAACAAATTTTTAATTTTGGAACGAGTTAGTGCCCTCGAAATGCTCGAGGGATTTCGGGTAAATAATCAGACAACTTACTGCGCACTTATTGTAAGCAATCAGCATTACTATTTTTCCACGTTTATCTGAACGCGTATGAATTTTACTAAATCCCTTTTTCCCTATCAGTAAAAATCTCATAAAATTGTTGTCTATTAATTAATAAAGACATGCTTTTGCAAACTAAAAAGTCTGGACTTTTCAATAGCATTTATGTCAGGGCCGAAGAAGCGCAGAAATTTTCCTTCTAATTTCTTGACTACGGTAGAAGTAGAGATTACAAGGATTTGGTTAAAGAATTGAACGTATATTTCCGTTTAAAGGCCATAATGTAAAGGCTCTCAGATTTCCGAAATTTTGTAAAAATGCTGTTGCTTACGGTAACTGACAAGCTCCAGAAAGGTATTACTTAGAATTTGCATAATTAGCGCAACTGAAATATAGGCTTGGGTTGCGCAATGGTAGTGATGTCGTTGAATCAGACCAAGGCTCTCATTCGATCTACACGAGTCATTCAAGGGCCACATCTCTCCGAGTTTGCAAATTTGGTAACAAACTTGTCTGAACTCAACTCAGTCCTTGCAATCAACGAAATCTTACTTCTTTTGTGATGTAGATCCCCAGGATAGAACAATAGAACAGCCTAACACGGTTATCACGAGATTCTAAAGGGAAGTAAATCGACCATCATTCAAGCTTATTAATAAAGAGGATCCTCAGGTAGCAGCCCAATACAAAATGATTTGGGATTCAGAAATGTGGTGTTGGGTGGCTGAAAAAGTAGCGTACTTAATAACCTCTGTCCTTTCCGGCGGTATCTGAAAGGAGGATAATAGTTTCTGACAGCAATATTATCAGTGGTTTTCATCACTATCATAAAGTTTTTGTTGTTGTACATTGAGTGCAATGATAGCCGAAAGCAGAAAGTCCGTATCCTTAAACCATTTGATCCGCTCTACAGTAGAATACAACAATCACCATTGTTTATGCTTCTAACACATTCCCATGTAAGAGACTGTTTGAAGGGAAATAAATAATTTGTTTTCTACCAGTTTATGATGAATATGCAGCAATTTAGGCAGCATCCTATCACTCGTAGTCAAAACACCAGCAAGTGAAGGCCAAATAAAAAAACCGGCAAATATCATGAAAGTTTTCGTCAGAATGTATGACGGAATACAAAATGTAATCTTCCCTCAGTTTTAACCAATACCATCCACTACGCATTTAGTAAAATTTCGCTGTCATAATGTATATATGCTAGAAACAAATTGGTCTACCTAGCATTAAATTATTTTAAAAATAGTCTTCGACATGATTCTTCCTTATCAGAACGCCAATTCAATTAGACGAGCTTGGAATCGTTGCTCACTTGGAAGTCAAACTCAGAAGCTTGGAAAGTCGTACTCAGTTTTGAGTCAGGATAGGGAGAAACTTGCACTCCCTGGTAAGTTCAGTCATCTATGAAACCCTAATCACGTATCTGAAACACATCGTATCAAAGTTATGAGCAAGAAGAGATCACAACGACTGGACTACAAATATTCTTCTGTGGGAAGAATGGACATTGAAGTAGATGTTATCCCACCGTATGATGCTGAAGAGAATCATGTGAGTAACCTTCTTCTTATTCATATTATTCATTGTACACTCATTTATCTTACCTCTTCATTTTCGTTCAAACATATTCAGTTACCTGGGAAAGCGACAAACTTTAAAGCTGTATGGAAACTTATTGCGGACTATCGTGAGGGTTATTCGCTACTTGGTTGCGCTATTCCAACAACGATTCTCAGGGCTTTCTTTTATCTACTGATTTGTTTTGAAGTCGCGTCAGTTCTAGAGGTACATTCATTCTTAAGAAGATTAGCAAGAAGTACTCAAGCAATAAATATTGGTCGCGTACGCGTAGTAATCAATACAAGACACTTTCTATGGCACTGTTTAATGAACCAATTCGTACATATGTTGTATCTAGTGTTGAGTGTTGGCGGCTATTAAGAAACTGTGAAAGCATTTCTACTATAACATAGAATCTGAATGTTTAGAATGTTGTCATCGTTTCCAGATTACTATAGTCCCACCCGAAAATCGCACTGAACAGATTTTCATCGTGGCTGCTGTCTATACAGCATTAATCATCATCAAAACCATGTTTGAAGCACTCGGCGTAAGTTTTTATGTTATATTTACATTTCTATTTCATATTTTATATTTATATGTATACCTACACTTGCAATTACTCAAATGGAGTGCGGACAACGCAGTGTAGATACATTGTTATACACGCGTCCAGTTCGACTCTGTCCAGTTATTGTATTTCTACTAGATCTACTATGTTTGACAAACTGGTCTTATTAGAACTGTAGTGATCTTACTGCATTTACAACCTTCCATTTAAGCAATTTTTTATTTAATTTTCAGCGACTATTTATCGCCCTATATGGTAGCGGTTTCTGCTCTCATATGAGGACTACAATGTTCAGGAAAGTAGGTTATGAGTAAATTCGCGTCAAATGTTGAAAAACAAATAGATGCTAAATATCTCTTAGATCATGAGAAATGGATGTGCATACTTTGATGAGGAGCGAAATAGTCCTGGTCGTATTTTACATAGAATAATAAATGATTCTTCTACATTGAACAAAATCATGGAAGCAAAACTCGACATACTCATACCAGCGATAATCTGTCCAGGTACTGTAGCCGACAGTTATTTCCATGTTTTGTTACTCCTTACAGATCTAGTAAGAGACTCAAAGGATTGGCGTAGAGCTCCGCTGTCTTCTAAGACGTTTTTGCTTCAAATTTTCTTATATTTTCATGCCTCCAAACGGTTTACTGCATTATCATGTCTGGGAGGTGTTCCTAGGTGTCGGGCTGCGATATACAGCGGGGTGATTCATTCCCATAACAGGGTCTGCCAAGCTGAGAAGAATTTCGGCGTTTCTATTAGGAAGCCCACTTAAGAGTAAACGAATACTAGGATCCATCACCGTGGTGGTATCAAACAAGTCGCAAGGTGGCGAATTTCGCTGTGATCCATGAGATAGGCTACTGCTAGTGGTGGTAATAACGTGGAGCTCACATTAGCCAGGTTCACCTCAAGCCTCCAGGGAACCACAACGGCTTAACCAGCAAATCTCCGAAAAAGTGGAAATTATGCTGGGGGCTGCACAACCGATGGAGTTGGTCCGCCTAAGTATCCAAGTATCTAAGTGTATAACCACAATTTTAACTTATCTTTCACTGCCTACTCTTTTCAATGGCAGAGTCAATTGCGAAATACAACTTCAATGATTCTGAGATATTGACAAAACTCCGGACCGCAGGTGTCTACGGTGGGTAACGAACGCGCTATTGTCCCTTCCGTGGAGTAACGCGTTCACCACCACACCATGCTGGTCCTCCGTTTCGCCTGTCTCTCAGCTAGTTTTATCTTCTATAGAAAGAGTAGGCAGTAAATAATGAGTTGAAATTGTGAGTGTAACTCCACCGTCAGCTTAACTGGGTTCGTTACCGATTTGGGCTCCCCAGATCAATCCCGCTAATGGGTGTTTGCTGATGGCAAAAGATCGACAAAGCTAGCTGAGAGACAGGCGAAACGAAGGACCGGCATGGTGTGGTGATGAACGCGTTGCTCCCCGGAAAGGACAATGGCTCATTCGTTTCCCACCGCATACACCTGCGGTCCGGAGTTCTCCAAATATCTCAGCATCATTGAAGTCATCCAAGTGTATTTTCGCAATTTGTATCTGAATTCTCTTTCTTATGCTTTCAGTGTTCTCATTTGCTGCAGCCATTTATATCAATTGGAAAATGGCATTATTATGTTCGTTCCAATTTCCAGCTTATTTTATTATTCGAATCGTTCAAATCAAAGAAGGAACAAAAAGGTAATGGCACTTGCCTGTTGAACTCATTCGATAGCGTGAATTATATTTAAATAGATATTAAATAGCAAGCGGATTACTAGCTTTCCCATTTGGCCTAACCAATGCTCTTTGTTATGAATTTGAATAGCTCCCACGATCGATTTTCTATTAACCTCGGCATTGGTCAAGTAATTCTTTGTAATCTTGTTGAGCAATCACGAGGTATTACTTTATTCTTCAAATTTGAGTAGTGAACAAAGTAAAAATGCATTGAATGAATGAAATAGAAAAAATGAAAAATGAAGACCTTTTTTACTTCTTCAGTTAGAGTCTTACCTATAAAAATGTTTCTCCTGTCACCTGTGGTCACGTTTATCACCGAGTGACTCAAGCGGGTGCAAGTAAATCTTCCATTTTTCCCTTTCGTGTGCAAGAGTAGTCTAGAGGGTTCTGCTCTCCATAGGGAGTCGTTGAGAGTCATATCCTCCTTTTAGAGCTTTCGTTAAGAACTTTGTTCATCGTGTCGGTAGTCTTCCTGCAGTACGTGTGACATCCAGATAGACCCAGTAATGGCTCTTGTCCATTGGTTGTCGTTCATACGCATTACGTGTCCAGCTCAACTCATCTTCTAGAGTTTGGCGTATAGAAAGATGTCCTTGATCTTTGACTGTCGACGTAGATCGGAGCTTCGGATCCAGGATCCCTTCCTTCAGTTGCGTGGTACGGGATACTCAAAGCATTTTTCTTTAGTCTGCGCGTTCTAAAACACTAAGTGATCTTTCAACATGCTACGTAACAACCTAGTAAAAAAAACGTAAACCTCTCTGGCGCATACGTTAAAACAGGAACAATCGTGGAGTCGAATAGGTGGGTGTGGAGCCGGGTGTTCTTTGTTTTCCTCACTACATCGTCGATGCTCTTAAAAGATTTCCAAGCCGCTCGTTTCCTCCTGTTCAACTCTGGAGCTACATCGTTCATCATATTGATTTCCAGACCTAAATAGATATATCTGGAGCATTTACAGATATTCGTTTCGTTGAGCGTGAATGGGGCATGCGAAACCAATCCGTTCTTCATGAACATCGTTTTCGTGAGATTTAGTCGAAGACCAATCTTTCCACAGGCTTTATCAAAGTCGTCAAGCATACGTTTCGCTCGGCTAATGTTTGGTGTTATAAGGACGATGTCATTCGGCGATATTCATTCCATTAAACGTCAAGGGCGCTCATGAAATTAATCCGTTCATGAAAATCGCGTTTATGACATTTAGTCGAAAATCAATCTTCCCACAAGCACTATCGAAGTCGGCAATCACTCGTTCCACCTCGCTAATGCTTGATGCTATAAGAACGATTTCACCAGCAAGCCCTATATGGTGTATTAACGACCGTCGATTTTTACCCTCATGTTGTCTCAGTCTAACGTTGGTGAGCTTTCTGGAGGATGATAGTAATTTTGGCGAGATAGTCTCTCTTTTGACTTCGATGTTAATATCTTTGAGAATGGTGATATTTGGGTGCGCCATTTCTACATAGCTCACGAAGGATCTCTACATGCCCAGTAGAGACGCTCTACCCGTCCAGAATTTCAGTGGATTCTTCTATCCCAACTGAATCATAAGCTTTCATTAAGTCGATTGAATTAATACAGAGCGGTATGTTGTACTCTCACGATCCTTCAATAAGTAGGATCCTTGTTACCGTTTGAATGAGATCCATGGTAATGAATCCTTTTCGAAACCCTGATTGCTTATATTGCTTCTTTTCGGTCTCCTAACCGTCTCCCCTATATTTCCCAGTCATTTGATTGCAGGCTTCTGGCCGAACCGATTCGTAATGCAATATGTCACATCCACACATGCAACAATATTTCATTGAAAATGCCGAACATGTGCGTCAAGTTGACGCAGAACGAACAAAGAGACCACAAACTAGATCCACCTGGTTCTTAAGAAAGCGTAAAGTCGCTTTTGGCCCTCAATCGACTCCCTAATCCACTGCATTGGGGACGCACCACGTTGACACGCGGCTAAACGTCATGAGATTCCTCTATGAGGGAGATCAGTGGATGGAATTATCTAGTAGAAAAAGTGTGGCCACATTTTCTTATTCTACTCATTGTGATCCATGAAAATGTTTAGGCAAAGAGAAATGGTCGAGGAGGAGAACAAAGCGGCAAATTTGGCTACGGTTGTTTTGTCAAATATGAGCACAATCAAAGCCTACAATCTTCAAGAACACTTTTATTCTATTTTCGCTCAAACGTTGGAACCGTTGGCTCAGTATGAAACATTCACTGAACTATGGGAATATTATTGATATTTCCATTTCTTGGTTAACTAACGCTTCGTTAAATTATCTAATTGCAGAGCAATGAAACGCCAGTCGATGATTTCTGCTTTCATATTCGCTTGTCAATACTCGTTTACATACATTCTCATCGCTATAACTTTGTACTTTGGAAAAGTGCTGATGCTTGACAATGAAATCACTGTGTTCGACTACATGAGGTTAAGAAGTCGCTGAAACGCATGAGATATAGAAACGTGCACAATAGATAGAAATAAAAAATAGCTTAGAGACAGGCGAAACGAAGGACCCGCATGATATGGTGGTGAACGCGTTAGCCCCTGCAAAGAGTAATAGCGCTTTCGTTCACCACCGCAGACACCTGCGGTCCGGATTTTTGCAAAAATATCTCAGCAACGTTGTGGTTGTATCTCGCTTAATACCCTGGATTGAAAATTGTAGTAGGCAGAAAATAAAAAGTAAAACACTGTAAAAATTTAGAGTTGTACTTCTTACGCAAATTGGTGCAAATTTCTTCTCTCAGCTGGTCGCCTCGGTTTCGGATTTATCAAAGGCGCGTATTGCCGCTGAGAATGTCGTTTCGGTGCTAAAAGAATCGGCTACTGATATAGATAACCTTAGCGAAGAAGGACAACGACCTGTACGTGTTATCGTTGAAACTGCTTCACAGTGACTTTATAATGTCGCAATACTTTTCGTTTTAGAAACTCGAAGGATCAATTACTCTCCAAAATGTGTCCTTCCGTTATCCTTCTAGGCCTGTGGTACCTATATTGAACAAATTGAATTTGAAGGTAGGCTAAATATGCACCCACTATGAATGTCTTTACCACTGGGCGATGACTTTGTGCTCCTTATAGATAGAAGCTGGCCAGTCCGTTGCACTTGTTGGTCCTTCAGGATCCGGTAAAAGTTCGATTATATCTCTTATTCAAAGGATGTACAACGCGACGGATGGTGATGTGGTTGGTGCAATTGCTCATATCGGATTTTCATGACATAGTATTAGATAATACACCTATTCTTATGCAATTTTATTCAGTATTTGGATAAATACAATGTGAGATCTATCAATCCTGCTTATCTTCGAAGGATGGTAGCAGCTGTAGGACAGGAACCAACGCTATTTTCCTTCACCATAAAAGTGGGAATTTTAGGGTCCCCTTTCATTGGAATAAACTTGAGCAAGTCGTACTTCAGGAAAACATTGCCTATGGTATGACGGAAAGTGAGGTGACTATGGAAAAAATTATTGAAGCTGCTAAAATTGCAAGTATCCATGACTTCATTCAATCTCTGCCACAGGTACGCTCATAGAGTGACTCTGATAAACACTAGGGCCACAGGATATGAGTTCTTAAAAAGAAAGGAAGGGAAACAATTAGATATTGTATTGCGTAGTGTTTTCAACCTCAAAGGGTTACGATACCGAAATCGGCGAGTTCGGTGCTCAACTTTCTGGTGGTCAAAAGCAGAGAATCGCCATAGCTAGAGCAATTGTTCGACGACCAGTTGTACTACTCCTTGATGAAGCCACTGCCGCATTGGACAGTACAAGTGAAAAGGTAGAGCGTAGTTCTCATCTTCACCTTTATCATCCCACCTCAGCCATTACTTTGGTAGTTGGTTGTACTTCCTGAAATTATAATCGTTTCTATACATGTTTAAATTAAGGCAGTTCAGTTGGCATTCGAAAGAGCTGGAAAGACATGCACATGCATACAGAGTGTGTTTGACAGATGTTTCATGTCATCCTGTTTTCGTTACGTTAACCAGAAAAACTTGTTCTTTAGTTGCACATCGGCTGTCGTCAATAAGAAGTGTGGATAAAATCTACGTTCTTGTCAACGGTGCCATTGCTGAAGAGGGTAGTCACGATACACTAATCGCTAAACGAGGCATCTACTACGAAATGACTCAATCGTCGTGAGCTCCCACTTTCATGAAATGAAGAAGGACGACAAAAATAACATCGAGAGACTTGTTTGCTCTTTTGTTGATTTTGCAGAGTTACGGCTATTCGTAATATTTGTAATTTTTGAGTTAACTAACTCTAGTATATACAGACTCTAGTATAACAGAGTATATACAGACTAACTATTGTACAGAATGTTAAGTATAGTAAAATATCCATATAACTTCCAGCGCTGTTTCAAATAGTTCACATCTTCGTACTTTTCCACTTTTGACAGTGGTGTTCGCAATATCGCCTGTTCACGAATGTCACTGTCGTTGTTTTCTACCTGGATGACATTCGCACAAATAAGTGAACACATAATTAATTAAGCGCTAATTCACTTAACATAAGTGTTATTTTCCCACTCTTCAATAGGAAAAAACAAGTATTCTAACAACTTAGCAGCTGTTTGAAGCAACGTCGAAATGAAACCGCTATCACTTTTTTAATTGGAGATGTTTTTATCACCTCGAATCACTTGCTCAGCGCTTTGAAGTGTAGGATTCTTTGATACGGTTCGAATGAGATCTTTATGGAAGCACTTGGACTCAGAATTTCCTCACACTGTGCTATAAACTTGATATGGATACGATATGTAAATATTCTCTGCTTGGATCATATGGTTTTAATTTCTCATGAATTTATTAAATATTATCTTCATGAAGGTACATCCGTCACCGCAAATTCACGGGTTTCTCATGTTTCCTCTTTCTTTCTCCAAATCATGATCAGATTCACCAAGAGTTCGGAGTGGAAAAGACACCGTTAAGTGAAAGAACGCGCATTTCTCCTATAGAATCACTTTCGGACAATTACCGATGTACCGAGGGAGTGTTCGTACCCTCCCAGACTACTATAATACCAATTTTCGATCCCCGACATTATGGAGAACCTGATTTGCCCAGGGTGCAGAAACAGCGAAACGTTAAACGAAGCCCCCTTCCCGTGTTATGCGATTTCTATCGCTTCCTCCGCTTTATCACCTTATAGTGAAGCAGTCATCCACAGAGATGGTTGAGTTTAAGTGTAAATTCGTCTCTAATTTGAGGGTCTGTTGTATTCTCTCCTTATTGAGATGCAGGCGCTGTTTGAGCACGGCCAGCTCTTTAATTCGAAAACAGTACCAATGAAGAACTTCACTCGAAAGTCCCTTTTTTATTCTGGTAAAACTGTTGGTGAATGCTTATCAGCCGACGACGACTTCTGTTCATATAGACAATTCATCCTGCAACGGTCCGTTGTAAACCAACTGGAGCATAACGGTCGACTTCCATTTAGTCTCCACATGCATAATCAATATTTTTGTTGTATTCACCTTGTCTAATGCAGTCATTCGCCTTTATGGGTTCGAGGAAATTCGCGGCTAGTATTCTTCTACGACGATAAGGATTCCTAAAGATGACATGACAAACCGGATTCCTTAACAATTGCTCTTGATGTTAACTCATTACTGTCCATATATATATATATATATATATATATATACATATTGATTTAATTATAATTTTACTTTATTGTTTAACATAAAGGTTTAAACCATTCATGCTTACGAGTAACTCTAAAACTAAAGACTTGATAGTGGATACTTGATACTTGAACGGCCCATCCTCACTGGTTATGCAGCCCCCATCAGAATCACCATTTTTCGGAGATTTGCTGGTTAAGCCATTGTGGTTCCTTGGAATACTGAGGCCAGCCTAGCCAAAGTATGCCCCAGGTTTTCACCAACACAGGTAGTCGCAGCCCTTGTGGATTAGAGGGAGATTTGCCACCGTACTTTGATACCAGGACGGTAGTGGATCCTGGTATTAACCTACACCTGACTACCTTCTGAAAAAACAAAAAAGTGCTGCTCGAAGAGTACAACCGAAAATCAGTATTATCAGTAGCTTCTTTTGATATAGGTAATTGGGTAATATATTTTGAGTAACAAAACTGAAATTACGTGTTTCGCTCTCTGTGCGTCGGGTTGCAAACTTGTGTAATTATACAGTTTCTCCTATTACTTGCAAGGGGTCGGATTGTGACGAGTAAGGATGCGGGAAAGTTCGGACGAAATACGTAACTATGAAGCTGAAGGGGTTGCCAGAAATTTTCAAATCTAAACGTTCGTGATGGATGTCGTAAGGAGGCTCTGATCTCGATAAATCATACTGGACCTCGTTCTTTCAGAAATTGATTATAAATTGAAATAAGTATTCACCATGTCAAAGAATATAATGCTTGTAACTAATTACTTAGATACTTGGATGGCCCGTTCTCACTGGTTGTGCGGGTATCAGCATAGTTTTCATTTTTTCGGAGTTTAGCTGGTTGAGCTATTGTAGTTCCTTGGAGTCCCGAGGTCAGCCAGACAGTCTATTCCAGGTCGTCACCATCACAAGCAGTCGCCGCCCTTGTGAATCAGAGGGAGGATTGCCACCACTCGATTAGTTTAATAGCGGGACGGTGACGGACCCTGGTATTGGTTTACTCTTAGCTGGGCTTCCTGGTGGAAACACCGGACTCCTCTTCTCAGCTTGGGAGACATTGCCGAGGGATGAATTCACTGCTGTACACCGCAGCCCGACACCCAGGAACGCCTCCCAGCCACAATGAGGCGGTAAACCGTTGGGAGGAATGCTTGTAATTACACTGTTTACATAACTAGTAGTGGAACAAATACGGTTGAAGGAGTGGAAGAGAACAAGATATTCAAGTAACACTCTTAACAGCAATTCCCAAGACCGACTTTCTGTTAACCTCGGCATTAATTGATAATCCAATGTTTTTCTTCAATAAGCAGACACGAGGTTGTTAATATAGGATTTATTAGAACACAATTGCTGACGTTTCGGCGGTTTCGCCTTCTTCAGAGCCGTTTATTTGTTGTAAGTATTTAAGTTAGTTGGTGGATAGCCGCCGCACAGAGTAATACATGGTCGATAACTGTCATCCACCAACTAACTTAAATACTTACAACAAATAAACGGCTCTGAAGAAGGCGAAACCGCCGAAACGTCAGCAATTGTGTTCTAATAAATCCTATATTAACAACCTCGTGTCTGCTTATTGAAGAAAAACATTGAACTCTTAACAGCAATATGTAAATACATGCATTTCACTCTGTGGCATATTTTTCTGAAGCGAAAACAATACGAATGTCTTTGAACAACACATGCGCCACCGACAAAAACACTTATACCAGTAATAATGCAATCCGAATGAGTAACATGGCTTAACTGGTTTGATACGTTACCGGTAAGAGTATCAGAGAAGCAGAGTACGTCCGACACGACGGGTAACGCTTAGTTTGAACGAGTCCAGCGTTTTGGGCGGTCGTGTTGCGAAGTATTCCACTCGAAGTTCCTTTCCGGTGGGTCTGGTTTTCTCTTAAAGCTAATAAGTATTTCGGTTAATCAGTAGTTGTCCTGAACTCTATCACTCTAAGGGACCTTCTGATGGTTCCACTCGCTTCTTTAACTATGCCCTCATCGTATTCGTTAAGAAGCTGTCCGCTTTCTGGCCACTCCAAACATGAAGTTCCGGATGTTTTGTAGAATTCATTAGTTCTTAATATTTCCATAACTGAAACGTCGACATTCTTCAATACAACTTAGGGTTTTGAGGCAGTTTTCGTTCCCATGCACTTCCAAAAGGTTGCTTTCTTGACTCGGCTCATGAATTTTGTTTGGTAATGTCTCATATTTTATTCTTGTCTCTTCTTACTAATACTTTCTGGCTGTCGTTCCCGCCTATTAGTTTGCCATTCTGATAAGGGCTTATCTTGTCATTGATCTTTCAGAAAATTTCCATTCTGTGTTCCTGTTCTCAGCAAAGTAACATGGAGAAAGTTAACGAAGGGGCAAGTCCAACTTGCTTCAAATTGGCCAGAAAAGGGGAAACCTTATGCCTTGAGCATAAGTTTTACGATGGTCGGTTGAGCTTGCCTTATTTTTTTCGTACACGGTCAGTTCAGTTTCGCCCATTCTTTTCCCACAATTCTAACTAGTTTTGAATTTAGCCATTGCAACTCTTCTCGAAGCATTGGCGTTAGGTACTGACGACCTTAGTATTTTGTCTGTTATTTACTGCCAGTTAGGGTTTTCCTACTACTCAGTCCAGGACTTTCAAAATGCTTACAAGTACTATTGCTACGACATTGTGATTTCAAGGTACGTTTCACTCGTTCTCTTTCATTTGTTATTCATTCATTCATGCAATCGTTTTTAGGCTTATGAACGATAAAGTCAGCGAGTGTAGAGGGTACGGGAACGTAGGAGTTGTATTGAAAGCACAGAAGTTATTTACTAACGCAATTATGTTCATCAATCGACAAGTGGCGATTGCGGAGGCAATAGAAGACGAGGTGTCATCTCAGTTTAGGATATAGTACTAGTTAATCTCGTTTAGTTTCATGTGTTGTAGCAATATGTGGCACAGGGTTTTTACAGTCTTGCCGCGGTCTATATGCAAAGAGCCAAACTAACGGTAAGGAAAATAAACGCTACTGGAGAAGTTCTCTGTCGGTGCTGTTCAACAATACGACTGTTTCCAGAGATCAATGAGGGAAAAAATTCTACGTCCAGGTGAAAGCACGTGTCCTGATTGTTGGAAGATATTATCGTCTTCGTGTTATTTCAGCGATTTGAAATTGGCTTTCGCTTTCTATTGGTTAGTTTTTTTTGTTTTGCTTTTACTGTGTTTTTAGTGTCCTAACTTATGCCTCCCAACGGTTTACCGCCTCATCGTAGCTGGAAAGTGTTCCTGCTTATCGGGCTGCGATGTACAGCAGGGGAATCATTCCTCTAACAGGGTCACCCAAGCTGAGAAGGAGTTCTGCGTTTCCATCAGGAAGCCCAGCTAAGAGTAAACGAATACCAGAATCAACCACAGTCCTGGTGTCAAAGTAGTCGCTTGGTGGCAAATCTCCCACTGATCGACAAAGGCGGCGTCTGTCTATGGTGGTGACTTCCTGGTGCGGACTTTCGTGTGACTTACCTCGGGACTCCAGGGAACCGCGATGGCTAAACCATCAAGACTCCGGAAAATGGAGATTATGCTGGAGCCCGCACAACCAGTGAGGACGGGCCGTCCAAGTATCCAACGAAGTAGTTTTAACTTATGATGTTTCGTAGCGTTTTATTTCCAGTAGATGCGTTGGTATGTATGTAAGGTTAGCTGATCAATCGGGCTCTGGTCGCGTTTATGGCTGTGTAGGTAATGTATTATACCTACTTGGTGATTATGCTGGTGCAATTGAATATTATGAGAAGGCAAGTTGTTTAATATTTTCGCTTTATACTCCTTATGGTGATTTGTTACGTCAATTTTTCCTTTATTTGTCGTCGTTTTCCACTTTCGGCATTTTTAGCGATTGGTAATTGCTTCTGAATTTCATGACACGGAAAGCCAATATATAGCGTGTATAAATATCGGAAATGCTTGCTTTCAGCGATGTAATTCAAATGAAGCGATGAGATATTACGAGTTAGTTCGGTCCACGCAGTATTTTACTAGCCTTTTTCTTAAATAGATTTTACCAGTTCTTTGACTGCAGGGCAGCGCTGAAACTTGCAGTGGAAATCTCCAGTAGGAGCAAAAAGTCTAAGTGCTACTTCTGCCTTATGAGAGCGGCATATAGCATTCAAGACTACCCTAGAGGTACAGTTCCTTTGTGTAAGAACAAAGGCTTATTTATATGATGGTATATGGTTTTTTCAATTTATTTTGAATGATTGATTTCAGCCGAAATGTGTTGTCTCAATTATCTGGCCTTAGCTCGTGAGTTAAACGATTTCATAAGCATGTTTCGAGCGTACCACTGGTTAGCCAGAGTTTATGAGAAGTTGGGCGATTATCCGAAAGCTGTGTACTTTTTGGCATGTTTCCGAGCCCTTGCTGTAGAGGTTAGTGCACTGTTAGTTATCGAGGGGGAGTGTCGACACAAATACCACAGCAGTATAGTTGAATTGATGAGCGAGATATTCTGCCGTTAACTTACTACGTGACGCCCATGCTTCCACTGTTTTCGTTCGTAGATTGCGCTATTCTAATGCACTGTAGTTGTCTTGACTATCGTCATGTTTTTGTTACTTGCTTATTTGTCTCTTATCGTGCCAACTTTGTAACTATATCAATATTGACACGAATTGGAAATCAGCCTGATTTTTTCCAAATTCTCTTGGAGAGTCCTATTTATTACGTCATTTTACTTATCGCGAATATCGTGCCCATTAACAGATTCTATGTTTTCATCAATTTCTTGTAATGGTGTTTATGAATTGCTAATTGTTCATTAAAATAAATGTTTCAGATCCATGATAAGAATTTGGCGACATTTGCTGTCAAGATCTTGAAGCAATTTGTGCAGCAATATAGCTGCTTCGTTGTATCAGAGGAAGGAAGTGTTTGTTTTTAGTCTCTTTAGTCGAATTTGGTTCGAGAACAATTACTTCATTAGTTCCCAGACGTAACGCATCCTCATACAACACATTCGCTCAGTTGTTTAAAGTTTACATGTCCGAATGCAGGTTCCCTACTCGGTAGAGGACCGGCAAGGCCGTGCTATTGTTCAAGAACGGTGACCACCACAATAATGGCAACTATCTCCCAATCAGCTTGTTGTCTGTTGTCTGCAAGCTTTTTACTTGGGTTATCTTAAAAAAGATTGAAAGTAGGGTTTCAAAAAGCATTTAGTACGATGGAATACATCCACACGATAACGAAACTCATTGAGGTATCGCGAGAGTACAAAAGACTGCTCTGTCTCACTTTCATCGATTTAAAGATGGCCTTTGACTCAAATGAGATAGAAGCAGTCATATAAGCCCTTGACAATTAGGGAGTCCCCACTAAGCGCATAAAGATTCTGCGTGAGCGTATAAAAATTTCACAACCAAGATATCACCACTCTGCATCGATATTAACATCGACGTCAAAAGAAGGACTAAGCAAGGTGGTACCATATCGCCAAAATTATTTAGCTCCACCCTGGAGAATATCATGCGAACATTGGGATGGGACAACTTGGATGCATGCATGGCCCATCTTCATTGGTTGTGCGGCCCCCAATATAATCTCCATTTTGTTGGAGCTTTTCTGGTTTAGCCGTTGTGGTTTCCTGGAGTTCCGAAGTCAGCCAGGCTAAATGCGGGACTGCTTCTCGGCTTGGGAGACCCTGCTGGGAGGATGAACCCCCCGCTCTACATTACAGTCCGACATTACACCATGCGGCTACTTTGACACCAGGACTGCGGTTGATTCTGGTATTCGTTTACTCTTAGCTAGGTTTCCTGATGGAAACGCGGAACTTCTTCCCAGCTTGGGAGACCCTGTTGGAGGAATGGATCCCCTGCTGTACATTACAGTCCGACACCCAGGAAGACCTCCCAGCCACGATGAGGCGGTAAACTGTGGAGAGGCATATATAATTTTCATATTACCAATACCCTTTTATGCATCAGCTTTTAGATGATAGATTTAGATAAAATTTGACAGTAGCCGCGATCCGGAGCCACAGTCACACGTCTGCTTTGTGAAGACAGTGTCAGGATCAACAATTCTAAAATCCACCAATCAACCGTCATCGCCACTCCTGTATTTTAACGGAATTGCTCAGGAAGAAAAGCATCATTTGGAGGTAACCACAAAGAATTCTCGATGTGTTGGCATACTTGGATTTTTTCATGTATTAAATTTAGTCAGCCAGTGCAGCACCCAGAAAATCCGAAGATACCTTTCTTGATCTTGTTTCGCGTGTGCAGTCATCACGTTTGGACGAACAGCGCTGCGATATATCAATTATGAGTTCTAGAACTGTTGCTGGTCGGCGTAAAACCGATAGCAGAATGGTGACTCCGAATGGTTTGTGTTTTTAAACTACAAAGCTGAGGAACTAGAACATCCAACATTCGAGTTTGCACTGTTCCTGTGCGTTGAAGCGCTTAGTAAATTATTATTTGAAATAGGACTCGCATACCCTTCCTATATTTTGTAACTCCTCGAGTTTCATGCGGGGACAAGATTCCGGACGCTCTGTGGATTTGTTTACTCGCTGTCATGATTGCCACGCCTTCTAATGTGCGCATGTAAAGCACTTCCTTAACATCGCGTGCCACCCAATGACCGAAAAGTCCGCAATTTCGTCCTGCCTTTTATCCAGTAAAAGTGTGGGCGAGCCATTAATTATTTCTTTTCAGACCCATTTGTAGCCTTGGTTCATCGCAACGTCTGGTTTTTTTAAAATTGAAATGATTCAAAGTTCAACTACATGCCCGCAAATTGACTTGCTTTAGTTGCTGCTTTTCCATGTGCAATCCGTCAGAATTCTCGCTGGTGTTGATGTCTGAATTATTGAACAACTTGTTCCTACTCAGGTTATAGGCTGTTGATGTAGTCTTTCACTAATGATCATTTCTGATCAACACGTGATGCTAACTGCAAACCTGTGTGCAGATGTTTTGTTCTTGTCAGTGTTTTTAATGTCTGTTATAGGGAAAACGCGTAAAATACCTGTTGCTTGACATCCTACCTAGTCGTGGTTTGTTATTTGTTACGTGCATGTTTGTGTTTTTTCTTTATAGATTCCCGACACGTTTCATGTGGAGAATGCTTTATGTCGCTCCTCCGTTGTGTTTTTAGGTCATTAGGTCGACCTCGTAGAGTTTTCAGTGATGCAGGTGGGAGACTTCGTCTTGAGCAAAGCAGACGAAATGTCCAAAAAACCTAGAGTTCCAACGCGTTTCCAGCCACGACATTACTTTCATCGAATTCTCATTTTTCTCTGCAAGAGAGGAGTGTTACCACAGATTGTGAAAACAATGCGAATATTGAAGAGGTTTCCACTATCGGTGAGACGCTGGGTTCCAATGCGGAACAGTCTCCAGAGCGCAAAAAATGCCACTATGCGAAAAAGAACACACGTGAGTTTTTCTAAAATTTGGTACTTCAGATAAATGGCACCATTCTAACTTAGTCCGTGATTGGAACAGTAAGAAAAACTGTATTCGTTGATAGAACAAGTTTTTTCATTGCAATGGGGTTTACATTTTTTCGCCGTATTGCGGGTGTTCATGAATTCTAGAAGGAAATTCTGAATCTAAAGGAAAGGAATTTCATGTGATCAAAGCTTTCTAAAATTTGAGGTCTGATGCCGTTTGCTAAAGTTTAGTGCAAATTTGCACCTGTCTAGTACGTGTTTTCGTTGAAATATGTTGAAATAGTTTTTTGCGAAAAGTTTGCATTTTCTGCTTAGCTAGTAGATCTTTACATTGTGGTACTTTTGATTTATTATTGTTTTGACGAACATTGTTTGGCTTAGGCTTTGTTGGTGCTTTTCAAAAGGAAAAGGAGGCGAAGGGAAAGTCCCTAACGCAAATTCCGGCGACGTAGGCTTTGATCGACACTGAGGACCGTTGTAGGATCATGGGCGAATAAGAATTGTGTAAATAACGAATTCGTTTACGCATACCGTGCTTCGTTGAATCAGTTAGTCGGTAGACAGTGTTCAGTTGAAATGAGAAAATTACCGCAAATCGATGTTTTTACTTTTTCAACCATTTTCTCTGTTTTCTTGCTTGCTTTTTAACATGGGGAAAGTGCTTGCCTTGTGCATGTTTTTTTGTAAACTCTCGCTTCTCATTTAGTCGAAAACACGAACAGTGCACTTTGCGTGATGCATGCTTACCCCATACTTGTTTTCCTCGTGAAGATTATTGACGCTTCTTTTAAGATTGCAACTGCTTTTGGTGCACTACATTTAACAAGATTTTTTATGACCTTTTACTCATTTTCTTTTTGAAAAAAAGTGGATGGGGAAAAGGATACGTGTTTTGTGTACTTGACAAATTCTGTCACCTGTCAGGTTGTTTTCGTAACTACCAGCGAGGTACCTTTCAATAGCACATTGAGCACCATTCTTCATTGATCCAACAAATTTTGTTTCCGTCGAATTTTGTCAAAGTCGATACTCTGTCTAAAAGAGTGGAGAAATTTCAGTGTTTTGTATAGTATACTTCAATTATGCTATTGCAATGGGGTTACGACTTTAGATGATCCGGAGTCCCGAAGATCTCTGGTAGACCCCGTCTTAGACTCTCAAGCCGAAAAGATGAATGAGCAACCAGCAGTGTTGCTTCCTGGCTTAAAAATCGAAAAAGAAAATTTGGACATTATCAACAAGCTTAGGTCGGTTGTTTGACATTTTGAAGTTGTCCTTTTCAGGTATTTACCTACTTTGCTAATTGACTGCTGTCTACCTCGCTTTGCCCTTTCGCTTCAACTTTAATTGCTGTCAAGATGAGGCAGGCGAAACGATTAACATATGCTTAATCTGAAATCGGGCGTTTTTGAATTATGGTTTACACGGGGAACAAGGTGATCCTCATATTAATGCTGAGATAGATAAGAGGGGTCAATAATGCAGCTGAGAGAAAAGCAAAACGAAGGAATCGCGTGGCTTGGTGGTGAACATGTAAATCCCAGAGAAGGGTTATAGTGTGTTGGGTCCTCACTGCAGACACCAGCGGTACGGAAATTGACAAATATCTCAGCATTATTGTGGTTATTTTTCACATAATACCCTACCATGAAAAAAGAGTAAGCAGTAAATAAAAAGTGATGGTCTTCATATTGTTAATAATTGCTTCTTGTGAGTTTTTACACGGTCATCGCAACATGAAATGTGTGGGTGTAGTAATCTATGGCAAATACTCTTCGAGCGTTTGTGTTTTTGTTGTCACATCAAAGAACAAAAAAATACTGTTTCAATCTTATAGATATTTGTTTACCATTGGTAGTATTATGTCTGATCACTTCAACATATTCTTCCATGCAGGTGCACTTCTGAAGAGGGCGGCGATTCGAGGATAGACGAAGCACTTATCGACTTGTTGATAAACGCCCAGGAGCAACGGATGAATGACCAGCGCTCCGATCTGGTGACAGTATCAAACAATAATCATGTCGATTGTGGTATGTTTACAAAGATTTCAATTTTAGTGAATAGCTATGGCAGAGTGTTCGAAATTGAAAATCAGTAGGTTCGCTGGATGATTTGTCTGTTGAAGAGGAGTTGTCGGTGATGGTCATGCGAATGCAAGCGGGACGACTAGAAGATCAGCGGGCTCATCTGAAAACAACAAAGAAACCTTAGTTAAGACTAAACTGCGGCAGTTTTTCTCTGTGGATTTTTTTTTGTTTTTCGTGGAAGCAAAGTAAAGCCTCTAGCGGGGATTTCTTAATTGTACTCGGGTATGCAAAAGGAAGAAAGAACAAACCCAAAAGAGTTTCCGTTTTCACCAGTTTTTTCCTCGCTTTTCAATAATTTATTAAAGTTTCCAAAGTAAATGAGAGTGAAGCCGATGCTTTCCGAGACCAAAATTTCAGTGTTCTGTTCAATTTTTAGTCGGATGGAAATTGTGTGGAACAGTAAACTGTTTCTTTTGTCTCCTCTGCTCTGTTCGAAATCGTAGTCCATGAAAAGTAAGAACTCAAGTTATTTATTAATAGGAACTTGTCTTTGCTAGAGGTTTGACTTTGTGTTTGATTTGACCTCATTCCAGTGGTCTTTCATCCAGTGATGTCCGTGTTGACTAACGCGTTTGTAATAACCTTTTTTTGTCCATCTGCAAAATATTGGTCTTTCCTTATTTAAATCTGATGTAGAAAATGTTCTGAGAGGGAAATTTTACTGGCTTTATGGTTTCCGTCGGATCTATTTATGTCTTCTAAAAAAATCCGTCGGTCTAAATCTGTGCAACTATGGTCGAGATAAGTAAATGTTGAACGGAATGTTTGTATTCTGCAAAGGGTTCCGAAGTCCATATCAAGTTCTGGCATAGTCAGTGGCCGTATTCTTACATGAGCACTCATTGAGCTTTTGTGACGATGTGTTCTGGGTTATTGCATCAGGCACCAATCTTCTTCCGTGTGGAAAATATTGGACATGGATCTGAACGATGTCGTGCGAGCAGTGTGCGCTATTCACGATCCGTTGACGTCAAATGAGCATCGCCTGGAATGCACGCAGGTTGGAGTTGATATGGATGCATATTTGTATGCATCCATTGGGCTATATATGTGTATATGCATATACAATCAGTAGAGTATGCTTTAGAATTGCTTTAACATCCTTAACCAAATGAAAGTGGTGTTGGGCTTTTCCAGCTTTTTCCTTGATTAAATTCTTTTCTTGGTGTTACAACAGGCATAGTAAACGAGGAGTAAAGTGCATCGTGACTGTATACAGGGTTTTATTCGTAGGTTTGTACCTAAATAACCGCTTCATTCGGTGAAACTAGCTCATTTTACCGAGTTCGTCGGAACAGACATAGGTGATAACGTGATGTTCTTGCATGAGTCACCGCTAATGTGTTGATGTCGTGGAGTGACCAAGTGAGTTGTCATTTGAGTTATCACACAGAATTTTACTACGTAATTGTGTACTTTGTTCCTGGCTGTCGGGCTCCGATGGGTCCGATGTACAGCGGGCGGATTCAGCCTTCTCTCTCCTCTCTCTCTTTCTCCTCTCTCTCTCTCTCTCTTTCTCCCCAAGAGGTCTTCTCAGGCTGGGAAGGAGTCCAGCGTTTCCATCAGCAAGCATAGCTAAGAGTAAATTAATACCAGGATCCATCACCGTCCTGGTATCAAACAATTAGCATGGAGGGAAACCTCCGTCTTATCAACAACGGCGGCGACTGCGTGGGGTGGTGGCGACCTGGGATGGACTTGTCTAGGTCGACCTCGAAGCTTCAAGGAATCACAATCGCTAAACCAGCAAAACTCCGAAAAGTGGAAATTATGATGGAGTCCTCACAATCATTGAAGTCGAGGCATCCAAGCGTACAAGTAGGTATGTAGTTAAGTTGCATTTTTGTATAGTGCATCTCTTTTAAATGAGCTATTTGGGAGAAGTCGGAGGCTTCTTCCTTACTCCCTGAAATGTTGTAAGCTCATGATATGATGGTAAAAAGTGGGTAATTGGAATGTATGATTAAGTGGATGTACATGGATACTCTGTCTTTCTCTGTAGGGGGATACATCTGCACGTAAAGATATGGGTAAACTGCTAAAGTTACTTTGTTATTTAATTAGTGCTTTGGCGTCTATGGTGAGATCCACTGAAAATCACAACTGGCGGTAACTGACAGTTGAAGTTTCCCGTGTTCCCTAACGCATTCCGCATCGGCGCCGTTTTTCGTGGTTGGCTTAATCGAGCGCTTTTTCACATTTTTCTTCGTGGGCTGTAAATTACATACTTGATACTTGGTAATTGAATGGTCCGTCCTCACCGGTTATGCGGGCGTTGGCATAATCTCCACCTTTCGGAGATTTATTGGTTAAGCCATTTTGATTCCCTGGAGTCCCGAGGTCAGCCTGGCCAATGTTTGCCCCAGGTCTTCACCACCACAGGCAGTCCTAGCGCTTGTGGATCAAAGGGAGATTTGCCATCAAGCGACTTTGATACCAGGACGACGGTGAATCCTGGTATTGATTTACTCTTAGCTACACTTCCTGGTGGAAATGCCAGACTCCTCGACTTGGGAGATCCTGCCAGGAGATGAATCCCCGGTTATACATCGCAGTTCGACACTCAGGAACACCTAACCACTATGAGGCGGTAAACCATTGGGAGGTGTGGATTATGTAATTGTAAAATTAGTCTCATTAAGTTCAGTTAGGTTAAGTTAGTTAAATTAAGTCATTTATTTTAAACTTAAGCGTAGAATTTTCTCCTGGCCTCCTTCTTCCAACTTTTATTTGCTTTCGATTAGCCTGTATGTGAGTACTCGTAGTGCGGTAGATGAAAAAAAAAACTCTGTGACCCAATGAATTGAGTAGGGAAATCATAGTGCCCATACGGTCGTTTCGTCCAAATCGCTATGGACACGGTAGTGAGCATATGGGGCAGAATGGGTTAAGCGTCTTATTTTCTTCAAAATTTAGATAGTAGAGAACTTCAAAGAAGGTCCTGTGGATTCAGTATTAAATGTAGCCTTTGAAGTCATCTCTCAAAATTCCCTGATTTTGCGGTACACCGGATGGACACTAATTGAGGATCTTATCCGGTGAGACGCTGTTATGTACTACCTCTTAGGTGCTAGTGTTTTATCTTTTTTTGAGATTGTAGGCTATTATTTAGATACAAGTGGAACTCAATACCAACCAATCTTCGCTTGGAACTTCGTAGCCGGGTTTTCCATGCTATTGACGTTTTGTTGTCCGAGGTTCCATTATTTCTCCTACTTTTATTATCGCTCCGCTTTTTATTTTCTGCTGCTATAATTTTTATGGCAGGGTATTAATCGAAATACAACCACAATATTGCTGAGATATTTGCAAAACTCCGTACCGCAGGTGTCTGCGGTGGGGAACGAACGCAGAAAGGACAATAGCGGGTTCGTTCCCCACCGCGGTCACCTGTGGTCCGGAGTTTTGCAAACATCTCAGCAATATTGTAGTGTATTTCGATTAATACTTTTATTATCATTATTGTGAGTATTAACGGTGGCTTTCTTTTGCAAATTAAATGAACTCGGAAGTGGTGGGATATCACTTTTAAGTTCAGGAAATTGTTGAATGTTGCGCGAGATGTGTGGTGGCGATGATGGAACACGAATGGCCTCAGAATTGGCCGGAGTTGAACTCAGAACTTCATAAGATGACTTCTCGAGGTGTGCACAACAATGTTTATTCCAACGTAATTTCTTTATTGTTTGCTTGTTACAGAATCGCTTTATTCTGCTCTTGTATTCGCAATCGAACGCCGACTGATAGAAAACGTCGCTACAATGGCTTCTATCGGAAGTCAACGTCGCCGTAAAGAAATGCATAGTGCTATGGTATTAATAAATAAATAAACAAATATATTTACTTACTCATATATTAATATTATACATTCATAGTTTGCATATATACTTACCTGGATGCTTGGACTGCCCGACCATAGTGGTTGTATGGCCCCAGCATAATCTCCATTTTTCGGAGTTTTGCTGGTTTAACCACTCTTGTTCCCTGGAGTCCCAAGGTCAGCCAGACCAGTCTTCCCCAGGTCTTTACCACCACAGGCAGTCGCACCCTTTGTGGATTATAGGGAGATTTGCCGCCACAAGACTATGACGATAACGAGTCCTGGCATCAGTTTACTCTTAACTTTGCTTCCTAATGGAAACGGCGGACTTCTCAGCATGAGAGACCCTGCCAGGGGATGATCCCCTATTGTACAGCGCAGTCCGACACCGACGAACACCTCCTTTCCTCCTTGCCGCGATTAGGCAGTAAACCGTTGGGAAGAGTTTGTATATATAGAAATAAACATGCTATGTACACATATTTGAGTGTATTTGTACGTTTTATTTCAATAACATATTTCTTGCGACTCAAAGGCCGACTTTCTATAAACATTAGCATAAATAATAGATATATTTATTAATATGTTTTATGAACTGATCTTGTTAAGCTCATGCTAGGTTGGTATAAATGCCGTTGTTGTTGCTGTTGCTGTTGTTGTTGTTGTTTTTTTTTTGGTCGATGGCTGACGTTTCTCGATCTCGCTTTCCTTAGAGTCGTGCTGTAGGGAGTGGGACTTCAGTCCAATATCAGCAGTCGATCAAAAACGACAACAAGAACAACAAAAACAACATCAACAACAATAACAACTTTTACTAATCTCACATCGGCTCAACAAGATCAGTTCATAAGAACATATAGATAAATAGCTCTCACATGTGGATTCGATTGTATTCTGGTATATCGGAGGCTTTTATTCATTCTAGTTTGAATGCACGAACGATTTTCTTGTCTTGGCTCTGAATAAGTTGGAGTCTTGTCAACTAGGTGAGGCAAATGATTCTTTAGCTACTAAATAATGAGTACTTAATTCTTGCTCTAGATGAGATGGGTACGCTTGCGGCAAAGAACATCATCGGCTGGCTGACTGAGTTGTGGAGCTGCACCTCCAATGCGATTTATGAGGAGCAACTCACTCGAATAGTCGATATTGTTACTCGATATTTGAACACTGCACAAAGAAATATCTACGAATATGCCGCACGTTGTTTAGCAACATTAGCATCTCGAAAGAGGTAAGTTCTGTTTTTAGGTGCTGGATTTGTAGCGATAGTGTATTAGTCCGACTAACGGTCTTGCTACTACAGTGTTTATTTTTACACTTTCATCATTATTCCTAACAGGTCTATCCGGTCTAGTTCTATCTACCAGTGAAGATTCATGTCTTGTTCAGTGCTTGGTTAGTGCAACAGTGTATGTTATTTCCTGATTGTATGTTGCAGTCGAATTCTATAAATAACGACTGATGGACACCGTTATCGTCTATCCTTGTCATTGACTAATTCTGTCAATTTCTCTTACATTCTTTCACTTCACTGATGGTTTCTACATGTATCAAACGTTTTTTCAAGTTTTGAGAAGTGCCATTCTCGCGTGTTTATTATCGAAGTCTTTCCCGTATGGTAAAATGGTGTTACCTAGATTACAGAGACCATAGCAGATCTGGACAATAGTGATGAGGTTGACTGTGATATAAAGTCTTGCATACTTTTGAAAAGTTACTGTGACAATGCTTGTGAAATGTTTGGCATCCGCAAAATTACAACATGAAGCTGGTTGCAGAGAGAAACACGAAAATACGTCTCTGATCCCGGCTTTCTTTCGAGAAGAAGTTCTTTTAACAATTCTTACCACTATAAGGTACTACAGGTTTATACCAAGTTTGCAATTTTTATTTCAGAATTTAGTAAGTACACACTTTGCAGTCTTGCTGCAGGCGGATCGCCATCTAATGAGCAGCACTACCAATATCTCAAATCACTTTGTGAACTCCTCACAACACTAGGAAGTACTCAATCATCATTTCTTCTACTAAAAATGTGCCATTTTTTTGAAATTCGCCGTGAACGCTTTTTTCAAGATTTCTTGTCGAGAGTGTGGAAGCAGGAGTCGCCACCAGATAACTTCGGAATGTATATGTCTGCAATAGTCGCATTTTTCAATCACGACTCTCTGGTTTGTGTTTTTTTTAATATCGGGCTGGGATTCATCTCCATATATACATATGTATATATATATATATATATATATATGCGTATCGTTCAGTATTTGAAACACGAATCGTGTGATGTTCTGTTGGCGCTCTCTACTAATCCGTTGTTTCGGGAGAATGAAGATGTTGTGCGCTCCATTCGTGTGGTCTTCTCAAATACGCTTAATGCGTTGACAAAAGTAATATTTTGATTTTATACCTTTTTGTTTAGGTAGTTTTACTAAAGTGTATGTTTTACAACTGTAATCTATAGAAGGGATATCCGTCACAAGACCCATCCACGCCAGCTAGTCGTTTCTCTCAGATGGATTTCGATGATGACTTAGAATGGCATAACCTTTTCTCTCGTTCGTTTGTTTTTTTCTTGTGCTGTACTTTTAATTCACAAGAAGTTTAAAAGTGTTTTTTTTTTCGATTTCCGCTCTCGTGTTCATCTTCTTATCGTTGAAAATATTGACGTCCATTTCGGTCACCTGCTTTCAATTTTTGAAGACGCTGTGTTGAAGAGAGTTCTGCTGGACCCACAACAAGGTTCGTTATTTCGTTTCAGAAACTCCTCATAAGTGCTTTTATAAGTGCTGATTTCAGTTATCGATGCTGAATGGGAGGCCATGATTAAGTTTGCGAAAAGTGTTATCGCAGTGGCTTGTGAGAGCAAGATTGCCGATACTGTGAGTTTTGTTTCAAAATACAGTATCATTGTAAACCGTCTTTCATTTAACATCGGTATAAAATATCAACTTAATTGTTTCATTGATAAGCTAACACGAGGTAATGACCAATATTTTTTCGGCTACTGTTTCAACGCCTTCGTCTCCCTTTCTTCCTCAGAGCCGATAATCCGATTCGCTGTCCACAGTCGTTCGTCTTCTTGATGTCGTGTCTTTGTCGCGCATCGAGCCGGATCTTCTTAACTGGAACATCTCTCGAATGAGGCATATCCAGCTGGCAATGCTTTGACACCACATCGAGAAGACGAAGGACTATGGACATCAACCCGGGTCATCGGCTCCGAAGAAGACGAAGACGTCGAAACGTTGGCCGAATAAGTATTTGTGACAACCTCGTGTTATCTTATCAAGGATGTACATTGATCAAAATACAGGGCTATCATTTTCAACTATTCTGATCAAGTTCTCTGTTTTAGGAGCACGATCGCTTGCTTACAATGCGTGACACCTTGGTAATGTCGATGACGAAAATGACTGATTATGATATACTAAGCGAGGTATGGATTTACTTTTATCGTTTTAGAGTGGTGAATTTGTAATTACTTGTCTCATGATGAAAAGGTCGGGAAGAGGTCCACACTTATGGGCCTTAATTTTAACTTTCCATATAACTACTTATGTAGTGGAACCCAGTCATATTATTTGTCTATGCTAGGGGTTAGTGTTTTTATGGCTATTCCTCTATACACTTGACGTGACATAATATAAATTTCCTCGTATGTCTTTGTTTTTCTTATTGACCGTTAAATGCTCACTGTTTCACTCTGAACTTTTTTCAGATGTTATCATTGCACTCCCCGTTCATTTGTACTTATGAAGGAGACTGGAAGAACCTTTCCACGTTCTTCTCACTTCTAAGGAAGTCAGGAGTCATCAGATAGTTTACGCCTAATACTTTTTAGTGTGCACTCAAAACAAGACATATTTAAGGGCACTAGTAGAATCTGCTGGCAACAAATCCTTTAATAGACATGCTACCAGTATTATTCTTCGCCTTGTTCAGAATTTTCCTACTTATTTTAAGGTATGTTGATTACAGTGATGTTTCGATTACCGCAGAATCTTGCTTTCTAGCCCAGATTTTGGATATGAGCGAAATTGTAAAAGCTTATGAATACTAATTCTTTATATTGTTGTTGAGCAAACGCGAGGTGTTGTCTTATTCTTTATTCAAGAGTTAGCTGACGTTCCGGCGGATTTCGCCTTCGTCAGAGACTGGAAAGCTCCAGTTGACGTCAATCTACTAAGTCAAACGCCTTCATAACTAAACAGAGAAAATGCTAAACCAAGATTTTAACTACATTGAGCACAGAATAGCTTCTTCGAACATTGTATCTTTCTATGACTCTTCCACTGAATATTCCACGTGGATACCAACCGCATAGAATTCACATGGAAGCGTAATGTGCCTCTCGCGTTAAAATAGCAGTGCTAAATACTATCCATTATCACGCGTGATTACGAGTCATTCCTCCATGCGGTTCATTTTAGGGTTCTTGGAATTAATATAGAATGCCTCGAGAATTTTGCGCGCTTGTTTTCGACTCCTGAGCGACGATCGTAATTTCTACTTCAAAATCTACCCCGTTATGCCTCTCTGCCTTATCCGTGCCTAGTGGAATACTTGGTTTAATTTTACGTTTACCGACTAGGTGTTGTTTTATACGGAGCCAGAGTCGTTTCGCTGTTTCGCCAATGTATTTCTCGCCGCGCGTTTTACGAGAGATCAGATAAAATGTATCCAATCTCGTGCAATCACCATCTCTACCGTTAGAGCAAATTATGCAGTTTTGCGTCGTACATAGACGGTCATAACGGCGATTGCGAACTAGCTGGCTTATTAGACTGCTCTGTGGTATTTCAATTATTCTTACCGAATTCTCTAGACCGTACCTTCTTAAACAACGTGTTATAATTGCCCTTATTTCACCTGAGATGAAGGGCATGATAAACGCGACCTTACTATGACTAGAGTTATCGTTTCGGGATTTAGGCTTTCTTTTGTGCCTATCCCAAGGAGCTACAGTTTTGTAGGCATTGGAAATGGCTATTTGCCGCGCCACTTTCTCGGTTTCATCCTTCTGCTCTCTTCCCGTGCACACGTTGGTTGCTGTTCGAGACATGTTTCTTACAAGCGCCCTTTTCGTGTGAGAGAGGTGAGAGGAGGGGTAATGAACCAAGATGTTTTTACTACTTGGCTTTCGGTACCGCTTTGTAATGTAACCATTTTCTGACACGTTAATTTTGACGTTCAGTAATGGAAGCCATTTTTCTTTCGGTTTCTCTCGGGTGAACTTGATATACTCTGACTGTTCATTCAACAGCTCGAAACATTTGTCCATTTCCTCTTGTGTTTAGTAAAGGACAAAGCAGTCATTTATATATCTACAGTAGAGTAGCGGCTCGAGACAGGTCACCGGTGCTTCCACCTTACACATAAACGCAATGGCAAGACTTGACGCTAATCGTTGTCCCATTGTCAGTCCTCTTATTTGAGGGTAGTACTTTCCGGACCATCTGAGGATTGAGCAGCTCAAGCATTCTTTTGGGAGTGCCATTAACTGCTCTATCTTGAAGGCATGCATTATTTAGCCATTAGGCCATTTATTTCTCCTTCGTGTTGTGTAAGGACTTGGAATGTAGCTTGCATTGCGGAGTCATTCGACACGTTTGTGTAAAGGGCGGTAACGTCGAAGGACTCCATCACGTGCGCGCTGTTGAGCTGCGCAGTACGTAGGCGATCCAGAAACGTCTGGCCATTCGTAGGATGGGCTGGAATGTGTTCCAACAACTCCGTAAATATTAGGGTTAAAAACCATGTTGTCCTATCCTTTGGCCCGTCTACACAGCTAATGATAGGTCTAACATTAAACAATGATGAATCGGTAGACACAAGATCATCGCTGCATACTTATGAGTTTTAATAAGTGTAAGACGGGACATGTTAGTAAATCAACCTTCATGTGAGAGACAATTTATGGTTTTGAACCAGCAGTGCATGCCATCTTGACCTATTCGTGGTTCAATTTTCGGTACTGACTTTTGAACTCCTTCTCAGACGATAGAGGATCAAGTGAGAAAAAGAGAAACAGGCCAACGGATTACGAGAGAGAGAGAACGGAGAGGGTTACATGGTTTTTATCCCTAATATTTACCCAATTGTTAAAACACGTTCCAGCCTATCATTCGAACACCTAGATGTTTCTGGACCGTAGAAATAATGGGCGTCACAACAGCGCGTACGTGATTGAGTCCTTCGACGTTGCCGCACTTTATACAAACGTGTCGAATCACTCCGCCATGCAAGCCATCCTTGAACTACTTATACGATACGAAGGAGAAATAAACATATACGGCTGTACTATGCAGCAGTTGATGGCACTCTCACAAGAATTCTCGAACTGCTCAATGTTTAGACGGTTCGGGAAGCACTACGATAAATTGAGAGGGTTGGCAGTGAGACAGTGATTGGCAACAAGCCTTGCCATTGCATTTATGTCTAAGGTGGAAGGACCAGTAACCGATCTTCGCCCATTGCTCTAGCGTAAAAATATAGATGACTGTTTTTTCATTTGTTCAACACGAGAGGAAATGGACAAATGTTTCAATTTGTTGAACGAACAGTCGCAGTACATCAGGTTTACTCGAGAGAAACCGAAAGAAAATTGAATTCCACTTTTGAACGATAAAATTGACCTGCCCGAAAACGGATAAATTACGAAGTGGTGTCGAAAGCGAAGTTCTCACATGAAAAGGGCATTTATAAGAAACATGTTTCCAACAGCGATCGACGTGTGCACAGGTAGAGAGCAGAGGGAAGAATCCTCGAAACTGGCGTGGCAAATAGCCACTTCCAATGGCTATGAAACCGTAGCTCCCAGAAATAGGTGTAGAGGAGAGCCCAAGTCTCCTAATGATAGCTCTGACTATAATGAGGCCTCTTTTATCCTGCCCTCCATCTCAAAGTAAAGTGCAGCTGTAACACGTTGCTTAAGAAAGGCCGGTCTGAAAAATCCGGTAAGAATAATTCAAATGCCAGCGAGCACTCTATGAAGCCAGCAAGCTAGCAACAGCCTGTCTGGCTGTCTATGTTCAATGCAAAATTGCATAATTTGTTCCAACGATGGAGATGGTGATTACATGAGTTTGGATACACTTTATCCGATCTCTTGGAAAGCGTGCGGGGACAAATACATTGGCGAAACAGGTAGACGACTTTGCCTCCTTATAAAAGAACACTTACTCGGTAAACTTAAAATTGAACCAAGTACTCCACCAGGTAAGCATAAGGCAGAGAGGCATAACGGGGAAGATTTTGAAGTAGAAGTTACGATCGTCGCTCAGGAGTTGAAGACAAGCGCGCAAAATTCTCGAGGCATTCTATATTAATTCCAAGAACCCTAAAATGAACCGCATGGAGGAATGACTCGTAATCACGCGTGATAATGGATAGTATTTAGCACTGCTATTTTAACGCGAGAGGCACATTACGCTTCCATGTGAATTCTATACGGTTGGTATCCACGTGGAATATTCAGTGGAAGAGTCATAGAAAGATACAATGTTCGAAGAAGCTATTCTGTGCTCAATGTAGTTAAAATCTTGGTTTAGCATCTCTGTTTAGTTATGAAGGCGTTTGACTTAGTAGATTGACGTCAACTGGAGCTTTCGAGGCTCTGACGAAGGCGAAATCCGCTGATACTTTAACTTGTTCTTGAATAAGAATGAAACGACACTTCGTATTTGCTCAATGAAAATATAAAGAATTACTTGATCAATGCGGAGGATGATGGAACGTCGGTCCTTGGAATTATAAATAATAGTCGTTATTGATTTAGGAACAGGTTACAGACGTGGTTTCCTTGTGTACCGAAGTCAGTGGTGTCGTTACAAACATGCAAATGGCTCAGCTGCTTCAGGTAGTTATAACTTCATCGTGGTGCTTTTTCTAGAATTTACCTACAGTTCACTTTTCTCGTCAGATCGTGATTTATTTTTAGGTTTTGGCCGTATTGTCGAACATAGTCGACGATGGAAATCTTAGAGTCGAGTTGGTGCAGATGGCTGCCGGGCCAGCTATTGAATATGTTCATAGTGTGGAATGGTACTTTGTTCTTTGCACTTTTTACATTTCTAGACAATCTTGTTGACGATCTTAGTGTTTGACTTTATTTTTCTTTTAGGTCACTAGAGAGCGTATCATCCTTTATTTCTTTTAATTCCCTTGACGTTGCTCCACCAAGTGATTTTCGTTCATCATCCATTGTTAACCGAACTGAGGTATCTTTAGAGCAGTATTCGATAACTTTGAAATTTGTTTTGAATTTTGAATCCAATATATAAGTTGGATTTAAAACGAAGGTCTACACGTACAGTTTATGTTCTTCTCTAGTGAAATGTGGCATTTCTTTTCGTATTTGGTTGGTGATTGCTCATTAGGATTTTTCTCCCTTGTGAGCGCATACATTATATATTCATGTATATGTGTATATACACATATATACGCACACATTTATGATATCATTTTCCACTTGCAAGTATATGTGTTGCTGGCTAGTTTTGTTCTAATTCCAGCTTCGCCAAGCTCTGACTTGTTTACAAGGAGTGCTACAGCAAGTGAATAGCTCCAGTCCGCTTGCTTCGATGCTGGTCCCGATCATTCCCTCCTTTTTCAAATTAACCAGGTTGTGAATAACTGGTGTTTTACTACCTTATCTATATGTGTATAATTACATTTATATGACCAGTGTGCAACATAGTTTTTGCTAATTTTAGGTGTTTGATGGAGCTGCATCTCGATCATGCGAACGCTATGCTTTATCCGTTATTTCGCGACAACATCACTAAAATCGTCGCTTCTGAGAGGCAACAAATCTACTGTACGTCGTGTTATTTTTCGTTTTTTGTCACTACTAAACAGCAGTTTGAACAAGTGAATGCCATGTATTACCTTCCAATATTCAATTTCGTTCCTTTTTCTCCCATCCTGTCCGATTCTTCTTTATCCTTTGTATGCATATTTGTAGTGGTTTCTCATTTTATACGTTACATAAGGTGCGTGTGGCGTAGTGCTCGGAGGTTCCTTTCAGTACACTTGGGATCGATTCACGCTCCCATAGCCCGCCAATCCCTCCATCCCTCCGAGGTCGGTAGGCACTAGTCTTGTCTGCGAGGATAGCAGCAATACCTGCAAACGGTGGTTGTTGAAGTCGAATGCGTGGTGCATCCCTCAGGAATTGATCAATGACGCGAGCTTTATGCATTATCCTTTATACAACGCATTATTGGCTCCCTTAAAATATAATCACTGAGGTGACGTTGCGAAATATTTGCGAAGCTTTACGGCCAACAGATTCCTAATCTCCTTGTTTATTCAAAATTGTTTGTTAACTCAATAATGTTCTTTGTAAGTTTCGATGGTATACTGTCTGTGCTTTTTGTAACCATATTTTTGAACGTATTTATAAGTTGTATTATATCTGGAAAAGTGATATTGTCGCCCAGACGAGTATTTCTGCTTTTGATTGTTTGAGCTTTCCTTCTCGATTTAATATATTGACTTAATTTGATCTCTGGACGTTATATTTGCAAAGTGTTATTCTTCCATATACGACTTCCTAAGTTGATTATCTTAGGTTCCATTGGTGAGAACGTTGAAGTGATCGGAGGAAGTACCACTGTAGGTGAGATGGATCCAGTGAGTATTGAGCGGCAGCATATTCACGACTTAAATGAACAGGCGTAAGTAGTTTCTCTTTTTTTCTAGCAATTTCTTTGGTTTGAACTATACAATGGCATCTGTGATTTTTAATCGCCGACGTATTCTGGAACCTCGAGTTCCTTCTCTCAGTTGAATGTTATGAGGTGCCAACTGCTTTACCCTCTAAGTAACACATTTGACAACGCTGGTTGACCTTTCATCTTGCTTACCTAGCGTTCAGGTTTCCGATGCCTACGGTAAGACAAGGAGAGTTGCAAAGTTGAAAAGGTGAGTAAGGTGTTGGGTATTCTTTTTTTGTCCGCTTCACTACATCCATGATATTCTTGGAACCTTCCAGCCCACTCCCTTCTTCATGCTCAGCTGTGGAACCATATCCATCGTCATGTTCACGTCTCGAATTAAGGTACACATGGCTGAAGCAAGCGCTCTCAAAATCGGGAAACTGTTGTTCTGCCTGTCTAATTATTGATGTTACAAGAACAATATGCAAATGTGTATACAACAGCCATGGAAATTCAATTCCATGTTAACCTACTCTGGTTTTCCCGTTGGTTGTTTTTAGTCTACTGTTCTGTCAATTCTGCTGAGAGTATGTAGACCGAGAAGATGGCAGTGAGCATGCAGATTTGGGAGTAGTTACCAGTATCGCCTACGTCTTATTCGTGAAACAAGTGGGTTCTGCTAGTACTTAATGTTCTGAGAAAGTCTCATACGGAGAGATTTTATGCGAGAAGCTGAGTGAGTGTGCTATTGAGAACTGGTAATCGATTTTCCAGATTTTGGGGTCTGATCTTTTCCGCAGCTGCTTCTGCACAATTCATCACAAAGGAAACACCATTTTAGAGTTTAGAAGGGATATCTGATTTGAATTCGTGTAGTTATCGCTGCAAATGAAGTTGAACTGGAACTTGTTGACAATTTTCTGCACAACCCTTCTTGATCCATTGACTATTCCATTACATGTTAAATCTTACTTCGATACTTGAATGGCCCGTCCTCACTGGTTGTGCCCTGGCATATTCTCCATTTATCGGAGTTGTGCATGTTTAGCTATTGTGGTTCCCTGGAATCTCGAGGTCAGCGTGGTAAAAGTTTGACCAACGTCGTCATCACCACAGGCAGTCGCCTACCTTTGTGATCAGAGGGAGATTTACCGCCATGCGACTAGTTTCATACCAGGACGGTGGTGGATCCCGGTATTGCTTTGCTCTTAGCTGGGCTTCCTAGTGAAAATGCCGGACTCGCCAGCTTGGGAGACCTTGTCAGGGGGATGAATCTCGCCGTTGTACGTCGCAGTCCTACACCTAGGCACACCTCCCAGTCTTGATGAGGTGGAAAGCCGTTGGGAGGCGTGTCTGTTCTTGGTCTTGTTATGGACGAATTCTCAATGGCCGTCACATGTGCTTTTCCAAACCTTTCCAGCTTCAGACACTACTGACACTTTACGCCTCTCAAGTTCCTTTATCTCTTCTCTGCAGAGTTTTTCAAAAAATTGATGTCTACCGCTTGCATAAATCCTTGACATACCAACAGGATTGTATCTGGAGACAGAAAGCTCTTGTTGCACTTAAGGTTCTCGTGTTATTTTCGTCGTAATGTGTTTCTATAGTTGGACTTAAGATATACATAGGTCAAAACTTACGATGGTTTTTTAAATATTGGTTTCCTGTGCACTGCTTTTTCTTTTCTATGAAGGAGGACTCTAGTCCGACGGAGTTGATAGTCTCATACCATAAACTTTTTGCAAAGGTTTGCAACAACAAAGGCATAGATAACTCAGAGGAAACTTTCGATTTACTGTGATATCGCGTATCTTGTTATGGTTCTCTCTTTTAGAAAACTTATAGTCAGATTCAAAGCGTACAACTCCACGAATCCAGTGTTACAGAGGATTACTTCTTGTCATTATGATGAACTAAGGCAGCCACAGACTTGTTTCGACAAAACTCTTTAAGTTGATGTATTTATTTATGTGACCTTATAAACTGATCTTCTTAAGCTGACGCGAGGTTGGTACAAATCTTCGTTGTCTTTGTCGTTGTTTTTGATGTTATTGATCGATGGCTGACGTTTCGGCGACTTTGCCTTCCTCAGAGCCGTGATGTTACGTGCGGAACTCTTTAAGTTCCTGTACCTCTCATAACGTTGAAGTCATCAAATATAACGTTGCTAAAAGTATGTGGGGATCTCTTTGAACTTCGTTAGACCCGTACACCATGTTTCCACCTCTTTTGTCGTGGCTTCATTTTAGATAGTAGACGACGAAAATCGTCAAATCCGGTATTGATCTACGTTTCTTGAGCTGTGAACGTTTGATTCGGGTCATCAGCTATTGAACGAAATCGTATTCATGACCAAGCTCATATTGGCGAGGACATCATTGCTGTCGGGTCCTTTGACATCGCATACTTTTGGGAAGAATTTTGCTCCTGTGTCACTGACGATGTTTGAGGGGCAATGTCTTCTTAAGTGGACCGGCCCGATGACGTACGTTACTACTACTAACCTACATTATTAAGTCTACAGGGAAAGATTCAATTGCTAATTTGCGCATGTCGAATTGCTGTAGTTCTTTCTCTAAAAGAATTTAGACAGTTTTAAATGGCTATGGTGTTTCAGCAGCTTCTCGTATTCATCGCACCCAGCGTTGCCATATTGGGTGCTGCTTTTGTGTCTTGCTAATGAGATCGTATATATTTTCTGTTCTGACGCTTTCACATGTGGAGAATATTCCGAGATCTGGCGTGAGGGTTGGACGAAATCACAGCCCTCCCCGGATTGGGTGGGTAGTTTATTTCTCGCAGGCGCGTCCTAGCCACCCCTCATATACTTCATTCTTTATTTATTGCAAGTTTTTTTCGAATGGATGTGTATAACACAGTCGGCGTATACTCTACACAGGCTTAGCGATAGTTTTATTTCCATCCGGAAAAGCGGAAAAGGGAGACGATTCACCGAATCCTTCTGCATTTTAGGACATGTACAAGGTTTTTCGATCAGCTTTTAACCGGCATCCGTCACCTGCGTGCGTGCCAGGTAGCACGAAAAATAGTCGGGTGTGTTTCTCTCAGAGCAAAAAATCACTGGCTATTACTTTTATTCTCGTTGATCATCGAGCAGATTTGGCGCGTACTTGTAAAGTTTCCTTTCATCTTCGTCGCGCGCCAGAGCTGTTCAGTAGATAAATCAATATGCTCGGCTGATCAAATGGAAATGGATAGCGTTAGATTTTCTTTGCGAGGCCTTTTGTTCTTAGTGTTCAACGAAGTGCCTGTTTACAAGTAGCTCGTAGAGGTTTTCTGTGGGTGTTCAGTACGTATTATATTCGCTTGTGTGGTTGGCCAGCGTTTTAGACCTGTTTGTGGCAGGCGGTCTCTGGCCACATCACTCACGTGCTTTGGCGAAATCGACGAGAAGATTGGGTGTGATTGGTGGGGGGATATTCAGGTCCGTACATCTAGATTCCTGTGTATATTATTGCCTTTTCCGTACAGAAGATATATGATGGTTGTTCAGCATGCAAAGGATTCGTGTGGTCATCTATATTGCACCTTAATTTAAAAATAGACTTTACCACAAGAATCCTCGAAGCATTTGCCTTGTATTCTCACTGTATATAAGTGAACACAAGTCATACAGTGTAAACCCTGTTTTTATTTGAAGTATGGAAGTATCGCTGAGTTCGGTTCTATTTTTGATACTTGTTCTCAGACCATCTGCCACTGTACATTAACATTCTTGATTGCAAACAATCATTATTTAGCTGTTTTTAGCCTCACAATCATCTCGTTATTTGTGAGCAAATTCCCTAGTGTTGCCTATCCAATGGAACAAATGCCAAATCTCTTGCACAGCATTGTGACAAATCTCCCATCCATTCCTGAATTCAGGATTCGTTCTTGGATCAAAAAAGGCTGGTTCGTGCTAAAGCCGTTAGAACAGCATGTATAGTAATGAGGTTTCTTTTCTTTAGGAAATCGATAGTGTGTTGTTGTCCTACAGAATACTGGTCTCTTTTAAAAGACTTTTTTGCGTCAGTTGTTGGTTTTATGCAAACTCTGCTGCAGAGAATGTGGGATGAGGTTTATAAGATAGATCACGGTGAGTTCACACTTCTAAATGAGAATTATTTATCGTTTTAAGAGCGGAGGTATGGTTTTCAGTGCGTCCTTTGTCTAAAAATATATAGATTATTTCAGATTCTGAACTATCTGAGGAACAATTGTTCTTCGAGCACTTAACGTGTGTCATTTCTCGCGATTACATCGGTTTTCTACGCGCATGCTATCTTGCGAATGACGGTGGGAGATTAATGTTTCTCTTTTGTTCCCTGTGAAATGTTCTTTACAATGATTTATGAAATTCCTTAAGGTGATGATAGGAAGTCTCGTTCCATGTCGCCACTTGGCGAGTGGTTGTTCGACAGTAACGTCGGGTTATCTTCTGTTATCATGACGACGTTCGCTTGCCTTACGTTTCGCGACTCAATGCTTGCTCTTAAAGCTGTCAGCCTTTGTACAGCACTGTCAGAGAAGGTGAGCTTTTCAACATTAAGGTTATTGTGCTGATCATTTAGCTATGATTTAGTTGGTGGATTGTTACGACGATGAAGTTGGTGTACATATGCTAGTATGTTCTATCCGGTCACTGCAAGTACATGGAGCAGATGAGATTGCTGGCACTCCACTAATTGGACTGGTGTTTCATATTTACTTCGCTTTTGTTAGTAATTTTCAAAAATTTGTCTTTGATGCTAAAGTGTAGTTTACGACGTTGTCGCCCTTTTACAGCGTCCCTTTTCGGAATCACTTCCTCAAGTTCTCTTGCAAGTTCCGGACGCAGATGCCGAAAGTGTGGCGAATTTCGATAGCAAGGTAATCCATTTTGCACTTACACAAGTCTGACTTTTCATCGAAGTATCCGATTTTCTAAGTGAAATCTTCCATCTGGAACTGCACATTTGGTCACACTGCTGAGCTGCATAGAAATTTTTTTAACGGTTTAAGATCCGAGCAATGATATCTGGTGAACAACTTGTTTTGGAAAAGAAGAAGAAAGAGATGACCCGTAAGCTTCTGAAAGGCGTAATTTCGGTACGTTTATTAGAGTGTGTAACATTTCCTACAATATCAGCTTACAACAACAATTAAACTCTTCGACTCCGACTAGAGAGATACGAGATAGTAGATACTATTGTTATCAAAACACGACGGATCTCACTCATGTGAGAGATCCCAATAGTCGGTTAGTCGCGAGGCTACGTGGCGCGTCCCAAGATGGAGGATAGGGGGTTAATCGCGCACCGAAAGCGACTTTGGTCCTCTGAGGTGTAGGTGGGTCCAAGCGATAGACTCCTTGTTCAGAGTCCAGCAAGCTATACGTGTGTATCAAAAAGCCAACAACAGTAAAAGAAACGGACCTCATCCCCTGACCCCGAAAGAGCCCCCAATTTCGCAGCATTGGTTAGGACGAGTACGGAGAGGCCGCTAAGATCTCAAGACCAATGGAAGCTGCCTGGACTGAAAAGAACTAAGGTGACGATCTGTACCTACAATGCACGTACACTTGCATCCGAGTCCTCGATAGAAGACTTGCTCATGCAAGCAAGAATGATAAAGTACCACGTCATCGGCCTGGCCGAGTCGAGGAGACACCAGCCTTTCAACGCCGTCTATGACACCGGAGAAGAACTATTCCTCGTAACGTGCGACAATAGAGGAGTCGGAGGCGTTTTCGTGAACACGAGTTTGCTCATGAAAACTGATTCGTTCCAATAATTAACAGCCAGAATTGGACGTTTACGTTTAAAAAGGTGTTCAATTTCGCCCTTGACAATCTTCGTCGTTTGCGCGCCAACATCAAACTATGACGAAGAAGAAGTCGTAGCGTTCTATACGGACTTGGAAAAGTTTTACAGAGAAGACCACACACTCTTCATGGTCATCATTGGAGATTTTAACGCCAAGATTAGACCAAGACGAACGTCTGATGAACATCACATTGGGACCCACGAATTAGAATGGAACGAACAGGTTGAGCGGCTCCCTGAGTTTATCATAACGACCAAGACCATCCATGATAACTCGCAATTCCGAAAGCCTCACCCTCATCGTTGAACGAGGGATTCTCCCAATGGAGAGTACCATAACGGAATCGATCACATCATAGTAAGCATAAGTTTTTGCCTAAACTATGTTACTGTTATGCAAAATTCTACACAAGACCAGACCATCGCCTCTTTCGTACAAGATTCTATTTCTCTCAGAAAGGAGAAAATTCGGCTAAATTCAAAAACCGAAGTCCCAGAACAACCATAAACTGGGACTTATTCAATTCATTGGTCGGCTGTTAAGAAAATGCGGTTGTCGATAACATCCACGAAGAATACGATCGGCCCATTGAGTATCTTCACATTAGCGCTATGAAAGCTGGGAGTTTGAAAGTCACCAAGAGACGTTTGTCTCCAGAAACACTCGAGCTGATACGCCAGCGTTGAATCGCATGACCTGTGCGCAACGCGAACTAACCCCCGAACATGCAAGACAATGCAGACAGGCGATAAGAGAAGATCTTAAAGAGAGAAGAGCACTAGTATTGATGAAAGCTGCAGAGGTTGGGAAAAGCATTCGCAAAGCCCACCGATACTTCGTGGAGACAAGACCAAGATGACTGTACTCCGACACCCAGAAGGAACAGTTACAGCGTCCAGAATGCCAATAGAGAAAACCATTCACGATCTTTACTCAGTTCTCTTCGGTAGGCACGTCCATCTTCCGTCATATGAAATAAAGGAGGATGGATATGTTATACCACCTGTTCTCCTTTTTGAAATCCGACATGCCATTTCGTCGGTGAAAAATCGAACAACAAAAAGTCCGGAGAGGATAAGATCAGAACACTTAAGGAACATTCCGCTAGTCCTCGTAAACACACTGGCTCGGCTCTTCATATGTTACCTGTCTGAATGCAAGGTCTCTACTAACTGGAAGACGAACAAGACCGTGTTATTGTTCGGGAAGGGTGACCTACACGATATTGGGAACCATCGCCAATTCTGCCTACTGTCTGTCGTGTACAAGCTTTTCACTCGAGGAATCCTAAACAGGATTGACAGAACACTGTGAGCAAGCAGGGTTTCGAAATAGATATAGTAGGATTGACCACACCCACACGATATCAAAAGTCAATGAATTATCGCGAGAATACAAAAGAAGGCTCTGTCTCACTTTCATCGATTTAAAGAAGTCCTTTGATTCATTTGAGATATGAAGCATTCTTGGAAGCCCTTGATAGTCATGGAGTCCGTACTCAGTACGTGAAGATTCTTCGTGAGCTGTTCAAAAATTGCACAAACAAAATATCACCATTCTACAACGATATTAACATTGTCGTCAAAAGAGCGGCTGGGCAAAGCGACACTACCTCGCCAAATTTATTAGCTGTAAAAATCGATGGTCGGCAGTTACACCATCTTCACCTTGCTGATGACATCGTGCTTATAACACCAACGTTTAGCCAAGCGGAACGTGTTCTTGACGACTTTGATAAAGACTGTGGAAAGATTGGACTTCGACTAAATCTCACAAAAACGATGTTAATGAAGAACGGCTTGGTTTAGTATCCTACATTCACGCTCAAAGGAACGAATATCTCCGAATGCTCCAGTTATATCTACCTAGGTCAGAAAATCAATATGTGAACGACCTAGCTCCACAGTTCAGCAGAAGAAAACCAACGGCATGGGGAGCTTTCAAGAGCATCTAGGATGGCTTGAAGAGAGCAAAGAAAACCCTCCTCCGTGTCCACCTTTTCGACTCAACGGTATTTCCAGTCCTAACGTTTGCGTAAGAAACTTGGTCGGCGTGTAAGCAGGACGAAAGGTCGCTCACCTTTATCGAAGGCGCAGTCGAAAGGACGATACTGAGAGTATTCCGTTTCACACAAGTAAGGGATGGGATCCGAAGCTCCGATATGCGTCAACGATCGAAAATCAAAGGTGTGGTTCTGTACACTAAACAGTCGAAGATAAGGTGGGCCGGACACGTAACGCGTATGAATGACAACCGATGGACAAGAGCCGTTAGTGACTGGATTCCTCGGGATGTGAAACGTCCTGCAGGAACACCACCGACTCTGTGGTCATCGTTCTTCTTGAGATGTGTCGAAGAAAGATATGATGCTCGACGAGTCCCTAGAGCGAGCAGAGCCCACTGGGCTACTCTTCCATGAGACAGGAAAAAAAGGAAGATTTACTGGTGCCCTCTTGAGTCACTCGAAGATCAACGGGGCCACAGGTGATACCATATCGATGCTGAGATATTTGCAAAACTTGGACCTTCGGCTGGATCGAGCTGCGATTACCCTTTCCGGGGGCTCGCTTATTACAAGTTGCTTCGCGAAGGCCCTTGATCTGCGTTTCACCCAGCTTATGGTAACATTTCCTACTGTTTTTCATTACATTCAGGTACTTCCATTTTTTAGCTTACCGTCAGCGAACAACACAAGAAACCAGTTTATCTTCGCCCTCTTCCACCTATCGAGAAAAGACGTCCTATAGTAAATGAACCCCATGATTTTGAAGACCTTGCTGTGTTTTTCGCCGAAGGGCGAGAGTAATTTAATGTCTTCCTCTGGTTTTTTCATATTTGCCAATCCTTTGTATCTGCTACGATTCCGTTTTTTGTCTGAACTGCATTTCGTTGCAACATTTTTAATATTCTTCCTCTTATTTGCAATGGCTTCACCTTTGCGAAAAACACCATGTTCGGATGAGTGGCTACACTTTTGCGTATTTCACGGCTTTTCATCACCCTTAACTCCTGCATTGATTCCATCCCACTTTTTTTCGTTATTTCTTCACCGATTTCGTACAATTTTTGAAGTGCTCGACTTCGTTCATATCCTCAGCAGCACTCGAAGATGAGCACTATTTGCGAATGCAGTCGCTTATGGGAATTTATGTTTAGCCAAGCAGAGAATGGAGCATGTTGTTGCAAGTTTTCTTTACGGTCATTTTGCATGTTCAGACATTCATTGGAATATGTCTGTAATTTATGCGCTGCAATCATCTATAGCTTGGCAGGTCCGTCTAGTTTTTGTTTCGTATACAGGTGGCTTCAGTTGCCCATGAAGCTGTCTCGTTGTTCCCGGGCCCAATTTCGGAATACAGCTCAACACATACTTTACATATGCCGTCGTTTTTCGAAAAATCTCTCGCGGTGTTTTTAGCTCTTGCTGTGATCTTGCATCGTCTCGAATTTGAGGAAATGCTGAGATTATTGAGCTGAGTTTGCGTTTGCACTCATGTACACCGTGAGTTCGGTAGCTTTAAAAATTTTTTCTCTTTTC